TCAGCCGAAACACCATAGTAAATCTACATTTATATCTCAACAACCATATGTTTATTTTATCTCCTTGTTTGTCGATAGTAATTGATAAGCATTATTAGTAGTATGCATCAGTTTTGAATAAATCGCAGTCAAATTGTCGTGGTATCGAAAATTACACCGCGGAAGCCCCAGAAATATAAATATCCCAGTCACTAGTCCACTGAATTTCTTAAAACTCCCTAAAGCGGCTATATATCATACAAAAAGCATTAGGCTACAAGGAAAAGTTTATACCACCGTTGTTGAGATATCAAGTTGTAATTTATCGCATTTACTATGTGTTTTGGGGTGATCCACTGGCTTGTGTGATCCACTCGCTTGTGAAATACGTTAGCGTCAATACATAGCCACAACGTGAGCTTTATACAGTCCGCGACTAGAGCATGCGTTGCTTACGGTGAAATTTTGCGCTCTTCTGTATTGGTCATAGTGAATACGAGTATACGAGTTTAGCCGAGGGCGCAATTTAAAAAAAGAATCAATTGATTGAGCTGTCATTGGCCGTCCTTATCTAAAAGGATTGGAATCCCTGGTTTCGACAGTAAATTAATGGCCTCGGAGATGCAGGATCCTGGCGCTGCCAGTATCTTGACGGCGCGAGGTTGCAGATAAGGGGTTTCATTGGGGAGCGCCAGGTCTAGAGGAGGAGCAACGAAATGGCGCTTGAGTTAATATCTGAAGAAATAGAAAGAAAAATGAGGTAATTAGAATGAGAATAGAGAAATCGAGAGGCAGTTTTACATCCGCTCCTTCTTATACATAAGTTATATGTACAGATGTCCTCGATTGCACGGCCCCCCTCTCCCTACAGCTCCACCACTGACACGGGCCTTGGAGCTTGTTGGATCTAAGAATGAGGCTGCTCTTGGCGAAAAGTCTTGAACACTCGGAAAGTTTTTTACGCTTGGTGCGCGATGCTTTCCCTTTGTGTGTAGTAATCCGGCAGGATTGGGGGCCAATTCCCAAAATCCTTCGTCTACAGATTATCAAGTCCTGACCACTCTTAGCCTATGTTGTATTTAGTTCAGCCATAGGGCGGTTTATTGAGGTTGTATTCGGTCTTGCGAAGTAGAGCCCGCCATCACCATCCCCAGCTATTTAAGATCTCGAATCTCCCTAGTGCTAGAACCGTTCGCCGAATTTTTCTTTTCTCCCACTCCCTCCACCCGCGGGAAGTTCCTTAATCCACCCATAATCGCTTTGATTGCCTTTATCTGAGAAGAATATGGAATTTTCACCTTCCCGTCGAATCACCGTCTCGTCAGGTCCGTTTGTTTGCACTGATCCCGGCTGTCATAAATCCTTTCTACGCAAAGAGCATCTTAATCGCCATTTGGTCATACATACAAACTCGCGCCGGCATAAATGCTTCATCTGTGGCCGAAGCTTCGCCAGGAGGTATCGCTCGCTAGTCTTGCCTTAGATGCAGTGGGCGATCGGCTAATTGATCTAATAGTGATATTTTGAACCGACATGTGCTTCAGCATAATTTACCTCCAGACGGCGCAAAAAGAACACCATTGGCATGCCAAACCTGTCGCCGTCGTAAAACAAAATGCGATTCCAACTACCCCTGTTCTACATGTGCCAATAGCGGGGAGCCGTGCGTGCGTGAACCGTCTAGCATGCAGGCATTGATCCCTAAATGTTCCCTAGAGGAGGAAGAGAGGCCAATAGAAGCTACAGAGGAAGTAGACCTCGAGGGGGCTGGAAACCCGATTATACCAAATGCTGAGGATACCTCTCCTATACGACTGGATTGGAATCCCCCGACAGACCGAAGCGCCAGCAATAGCGTTACCAATACTCGCCCCGTCTCAAGGAATTTCAGCCCAGATCAGGGACCCCCAACCGACCCATTAATGGGTATAAATTCCGAGCCCAACACAGCCACATCCACGAAGAATAAAACCCCTCCTTTATACTACGGCGAGCCACCTGACATTATGAGTCTTCCATTTGACGCACTAGTGCGGCAATCTTCGGAAACGAGAGATCGCTTCGGTACAGACCAATCATCATCTGAAATACACATGAGCGATATACCAACCTTTACCCCCAGCCTGAGTTTTTCAAGTGAGTAGAAGCTACAAGCTGCTGCATTGGAGAACGACAATTATCTAACTTAGCAAACGCAGCTACCTCAATACTTAGGATGGCAGGCCCTGAGATATCCACCCCAGCATCATCCAGCGTGTGGTTGCAGCTGCACGAGGCCATTACAAGCCAAGTCCAGTTCGTTACTGCACAGATCAAATCCATTGAATTTGAGCATTTCCACCAGGCGTGGCCCTTTTTACACGTTGCCACTTTTTCACCCGAAAAGCAGACTAATCTGTTGACGAGTGCATTGGCCAATGTATGCATGTGGATGCAAAACGCCAACCGTCACCATCTGATTCCGTACGCAATCAATCAGGACCTAACACGGGCACTAATGCCTAAGATAGTGAGTGTCGCTTCCACGGTGGACTAAGCTTTGCGTTACGGGAATATTAATATTGGAATAGACGGAAGAAGCCTTGACGGAAAAACTCACAGCTGATACACCATTGCCAACCCTACAAGCATTGGTCATCACCTTAATCTATGCGATTCTCGGAGATGTAGGGTTTCGTCGTCGAGAGCCAGAAAACGGGAACAAGTTGACTAATAGTGACAGGCACCTGCATCTACTTTGAACTGGGCAGCACAGTGGACCGACATTGGAATCTTCACTTTGCGACGACTTGGTGTCTTGGATGATCGGTGGCAGCCGGAAGAACACCTGCAGTCCGCTGATGATCGATGGGTCCAAACTGAGGAGATGAAACGGTACATCCCGGGCTTTTCCCCATGTCTATAATCACCCATTTTCTAATACCTCATTAGGCTGGCATACGTGATTTTACGCATCGATACCTATTTGTGCATTATCCTTGATCGGCCCCCTACCATGCGATACCAAGAGTTCGGACCACCATTGCCCGTGTCAGAGGGACTATGGCGAGCAGAGACTAGGGCGGATAGAACAAACTTCCACTGGTATGAACCGGCGGGGCGAACCAAAAGTGCATTTTCCACGATGGTTCGTGACGGACTGGAGTCGAGTGGATTCATGACTGGATATCTTCGAATGCCTCATCTGTCCCTCGAGGATAATCACTTCAGTCTCTGTGCGTTCTTGTCGGAGCTATGGGGGGTTTCGAAAGAGGCCCACGCGGAGCACCATCGAAACTACCGCTCACCCGAATTGAACCGCACCGCAGACCGAGTCAAGCTTTGGAAAGGCTATCTCCAGGACTGGCGAGTCCACATTGAAAAGACCGACAAGCTGGAAGAGACGTTCTTTGGAGAGTGTTTAAGCGACTACAGCCATTTCCTCGGTCTCGACCTTACCCTATACCATCTTCTTTGCCTCAAGCTCCATGCCAATCTCCGATTGCTCGAACACAAGAAATGCTGCTCGGGCTGCCAGGAAGCCACCATCGAAAATGTCATTAGTCTCTGGGCCCGATCCCCCGACGGTCGCCAGGCGGTCTACCACGCCGCTCAGTTGAAACGTATCTACGAGCGCGAGAGCAATCTTTACAAACTCAACGACCAACGTCTGTGCAACGTGCTAGGGCCTGCCGGCTTGTTGGCCAGTGCCACTGTTCTCTGCACCTACAGTGCCAAGGCGCCCGGGGTTAACACGCCTGAGGGGGACATCGTTATGAGAGCGCCGGCTGATGCAATCGAGCTGGGTCAGTCGAACCTGGTGGGCTCGCCTGAGTTCAAGAATTGGATCTCTCAGGGTGGCCCTGCGACCGTGGACGGGGTCTCCTTGCATCCGTTCTCAGTTCCCCGCTTCTCATCCTGGTACCGCGATCGGTTAGAAAGCTGTCCTGTCTACTCGTCGCGGTTGGTCAGCTTCCTCCTCACATTGAAATTCTGATGACGTACGTGTATATGATTCCCGAGGTCGTAATATGATCCCTGTATTGGTTATAGAATAATAGATTATGACAGAATGAAATACGGCATATTTCCACTAGACCATACCAAAAACCTCCGTTCCTGTTCAGGGTCTAGGGGCCCTTGTCCCAGTCTGACAGATCATCTAATTAGCTTTGCTCTCCCTTTACCAATACCCTAAATCAGCAGTGATCTGCACCGGTGTTTCCCATTATCCAATGCAGGTTACAAAGTACACCGTAAACACCCGTGTCCGATCGCTTCGGTCGAAAGTACCACCGCACGATCTGACCTAAGACTCTCCGATACGCGCATCGGGCTGACACGAGCCCCTCATTGCTCGCATCTGGGCAATTACTTGTCTCAAAAGTAGCCCCCACATTGCACCTATGACAAGTGCATGCAGCATAGTGCGCGCTTTGACCCTGAAGGCTGCTGAAGGGAAAGTTAGCGGATGGCGTTTCAACGCTTCAACTGTAAACGTGGCAAGCCCACCAACACCGAGTATGGGTGTTGGTGGCCCCGGAAAGCAAGTTGTGGGATGAGGTATCTTCTGTTTAGTAACCCCATACAAAAGTACATAAACCCAACATAGTCATATGCTTGATTTTCTCGACCCTCAAATTAGTTAGGGAAAATATAGGAAGATATCCATAGTGTAAATGAAGTCTTGATTCCTTGGTACCAAGTGTACTTGAAGTAAGAGAGTGGTTGAAATTTTGTGTTAGATATGATATGTGGTGGTTTTCAAAGTGCTCTTTACACTTATATACCATAGATTTAGGATTGATTTTGATTTTGATTTTGTTGTGTTTTAAGTATCTTTCATATGGAGTCGCTATATAAAAGATACCCAATCTTTACAATTTGCTATCTGGTACTCTCGCTATCACAGCAATCCCACAGCTCCCGACAAACTTCATACCGATGCATGCCATCCCACCAATACCCTATCGGCTCGGATCGCTTCCATTCCCGTACTGCTCCACGAGGCTAAAGTATACACTTCATATCTTTATAAGACAGCATCCCAACACCCCTGGAGTGGAACAGTATGAACTACCGATTTCATTTTTGGCCAGCAGATAGGATATAGCATCATGATTTCCAAGGCCTCTTCCGCCGCCGGTCCCATCACCCGGTTCCCAGCCGACGATCTCCGTCACGCCAAGCGCCTGATCACTACCCACAACGCCAAGGGGCAAGGGGTCTTCCTCCCCGATGATGACGGTGATCATCACAAGATCATGCTGAACGGCCAAGCAGCTGCCAACATCATCTACAGCACCCAGGGCGCCCAGGTTGACCTCAACGAGGAGAAAGATATTAAGTTCGCCCAGGAGAACGAGGTAAACCCCATCCTGCTTTGGCGGGGAAGTGCGAAACAAAATCTGACTTGGACGATTAGCCTCCTATTCACGTCCGCAATGGCTCCGTCGCGCGTCTCATCGATTTCGCGCCCGGTATGGAGTCACCTGTTCATCGTGCCATGTCTATCGACTATGGCGTAGTGATCGAGGGCGAATTCAAACTCACCCTGGATAGTGGAGAGAGCCGCATTATGTTACCGGGAGACTGCTCCGTCAACCGGGGCTGCAATCATATGTGGAAGAATATGTCCGAGACAAAGAGCGGTCGCATGCTGTTTATCCTTTTGGATGTTCAGCCGCTGACAGTCAATGGCCATGTAATTGAAGAGGATTTAGGCGAATTGGCAGAGGAATATCCTCCGCACCCGGAGCACTGAGACCTCTTAGGTATTCTGTGTGATTTGAGGCCAGCATGCAGTGGCAGCTGCACTGGGCCTACGAACAAACTATATGTACATTTGCATCAACTTATTATTTCATGACCAGTTTACCATCGTCATCGTCATCATCATCAGAAGAACCAATGACAAATCATAGCTCCGGAACAAAACGGCATTAATGCAGGTCGAGCGCTAATCAGAGGCACTCATATCGACTGAGCACGTCTCTCTCAGCTGTCTCAAACTCTCGGAGAATGGTTTCTCGACGACTTTCGGACCGCACCCGGATGGTCGCCTTGAAGTCCTTAGCACAGCTCAGGAAGCCATCCATGTATCCCGTCTCCGCATCGACATCGACAGGTACCGGCATACCAGTCTGTGTATGAATCGGTTCAGACATGTCGAATGCCCATAGCATCTTGGCGCAGGCGATGAAAATCCCACGCTCCGCTAGGTGAATACCTGGACAGATTCGTCGTCCGGAACCGTAGGCATAGTGGTCGCGGTTCTCGTAATCAGAACTAGCCGCATACGTGGGCGCCAGGGACGTATGATTTTTGTACCGCCAAGGGTTAAAGGTATCTGGGTCAGCGTAGCTGTCAGGATTATGGTGGACGCCCCAAACATTAAGGACCACCGTGGATCCTTTGGGAATTAGCAACCCATCAATCTTCCCATCCTCTTTTGCGGCGTGTGGAAATGCGGTCGGTGCTACTGGACGCCAGCGTAGGCATTCCTTGACCACCATAGTCACCAGAGGTAAACTGGCAAAGTCCTCCCAGGTAGGAGAACGGTCTTCGCCGATCTCCTCATCTATTTGGGCTTGCGCTTGTTTCTGAATGTGTGGATACTTGATCATAGCTTGAATAAGCACCAGGAGCATGCTGGCCATAGTATCCGACCCACCCTCGACCAGATTGCCCACCATTAGAAGTATCTCCCGGTCTGAAAGACCAAGCTTGCTCTGTTGGTCTAGCACATTGTCCAGGAAGCAACCTTTACTCCCAGCCTTCTGTCGTCGCTGAACCACATGTCGCACCAAAGGCTCGTAGAGATTGGTAAGAATATCTCCGACTGCTCGGGATCTGGACTTCCAATTTCGAAACAACGTCTCCGGGAGGTATTTGAAAACGGGGAATACGTCTATGGGAGGCGTAGCACCAATCTCCAATATCTCGGACAGCCCTTCCATAAAGCGGTATAGCTCTTTCATGTGCGCCGTTTCACATGTTGGAGTGCGGATTCCGAGAACTGCGGTAGAACATATGTAATTAGTTATTAAGAGGTCTCTGTGAGAGGAAAACCAACCGATACTCATGATAACACTGTTGCTATATCGCTTAGGATGACTAATTGGTCCCTCGAGGTTAAAGCAAAGATCCCGAAGCATCTGAGTTGCTTCTGCATTCTGGAGCGCGACATGGTGCTGTTCGCACATCATTTCGTTGAAGTGTTCATGGTAGAGTCTCCGACCGCGACGCCAGGTTTCGCCTATATTCAAGAACATAAGATGATCACCACGAAAAATGAGCTCATTGGCAATATACATGGTGGGGCGGTCGCTGTATTTTGCTGACTGCTTGTCGAGGAGCTGCTTAACAAGGTAAGGAGAATTGATGACGACTGTAGTGGACGAACCAATCTTGAGAGAGAAGATGGGCCCGTATGTTTTTGCCCATTGGGTCAACCTGCTATGATTTAGTATTTGGTCAAAAATTGAAGATTTGGAAGGATAAGCCTACTTGAGATGGATTCTGGTCTTTGGCACTTGCAACGCATTTCCTATTATGGGCACACATGGTGGACCCGGGGGCAGGCCACGTCCTCGACTCCCAGGAAAGGTGCCCCTTAGCCATGAAATAATTCCCCAAACCAATAGAACGACAATGATGTGAAACATTCGGAGTGCTAAATTGGCTTTGTGGGGGATTGAACCTTTGATCAACCGAGCAACCACTGTTGCCTCGAACGAATTTCAACACCTTTGGATTACGGTATCAAGTAGCAATTTAAGAACGGACATTTCACTTCCGAGCCAAATATCTCAAGTACGGTGTCCAGTTACTTGGCTGTTTACTCTGTGTCTTGCGATACCGACTCCGACATTCCATGCCGACTCCGACCCCGACGTGCACGTCATATGAGGGATGTGCCCGATGCAAGTGAAACATTCTCGAAATGTTAATAATAATGGGAAGCAAGTAATATCCTACACTTGAGCGTATCAGCCCGCTAGTATTTGAGAAATCCCGGGGTGGATGCGATCGAGCTCTTCTAGCAGCTCCTTCCACACCTTTCCTTGGGCTTGGGTGCCTTCGTCGCTTCTCACAAATGGCGATAACGCATTACTACCACGTACATGGTTAGCTAAACTGAATCTAGCGTCTCTGAAGAACTGAAGATTGAAACACACTTATCGATTTCACAATCATTCAGATACTGCCCATTGGCCTCCCATCCCAGACTGGCGGCATGAACCAACGTTCTTGCACCTTCTTCCGTTGAACGCGATAAAAAGTGATTCATCACGGCTAACTGGACTGCCCAAAGGCCCCGTATATCGCGGAGCAAGTTTGATTGACAGAACCCCGGAGTGAGCGCTGATACAGAAACACGAATCTCCTGCGCAGCTAGTTCCTTGGCCAGAGCGCGCATCAAGAGTATCTCCAGTAATTTAGAAACGTAGTATCTACATTGCGGATATAATGAATATCTTCACTGATTGGCACATCGCAGAATATTGACCAGTGACACGTACCTCTCGTGCATTCTTGCATTATTCTTATCATTAAGAGTGGCAAATGTATTCTCGGTCGTCCACTCTGGAAGGTTGGTCATGGCATGTCGATCGGACGCGACGATGACGATCCGAGGCACAATTCCGATCTCCTTGGAGACATACCGGAGTTTAGGAAGCATCAGCAACGCCAGCAGAAAGGTGTGGACCACATTCACAGTGATGGTACTTTCGTTTCCACCCACAAGGTAGAAATCCTGAGTGACTTTACCAGCATTCAGAAGCAAGACATCGACGCGTGGCAGGCTGTTCACCTTTGTGACGAAGGCCTCCACTGATGCAGAGCTCTCCATATCCAAAGTATAGACCTCCAGGACCCCGGGAGGGCGGCTTGACGATGACTCTAGATCATCTTTTGCCGCCTCCCCTTTGCTGGTCGACCGGACGGCCAGGACTACCTTAGCAGCATTGAGGTTGAGAAAATAGCGAGCCGCTTCGAAACCGAGGCCAGTGTTGGCACCAGTCACAACAATCACCTGATCTGTGAGATCATGTGTTGGAACAGGCAGTGTCACAAACAGTTGTGAACGAAGAAATGAAAGCAATGACATTTTGCAGACTGGCTTCTTCGACCTAGTTGGGGGAATTTGAATAGATAGAATTCCCACACTATCCTCGAAATCTCCAGGAGCCTTATCTCGTAAACCATATTTAAATTAATATGAGCAAGGACATAAGCAGCCGGCAGGGAGCGCACGTCCATCCCATCGGGTAAGACCCCTCCCTGTGGGCAATGTCCAGAACTCAGTTTCCTGCCGTGGCCAGGCGATAAGATCCGTCGCTCCTTTGCCTGAAGATTATTTATGAATCCCGATGCTCCGGATTTGAATGCAGGGTCAATGGCAAGGAGTTTCCGCATTCATTATGCCAGCAACACGACATGCATTGATTACTGGGTGGGTGCTCATGACTTACATTGGTAGTAGCCTGCTCATGATGATAGATGCGGCGAAGGTGGTATTGGCCATGCACTTGCCATGCGATTTCGAGAAGAAGGTGAGACAGCGCCAAGCGGCCCGGCGCGAGTTTCATTTATGCCAATGCTTTGATCTGTAGGGTTCATTGTTTTCACGACCTTGCTCCCTCATGAGGCCCGGAACCATTTGGACCACCAAGGGATTCATGTCTTCGACTCCGACGTGACCAGTGACAAAGATACCGAAGCCCTCCTAGAGCAAGTTCAAAGGATATCCAATGGCCGGCTGGACGTCCTGGTCAATAACGCGTACGCAAAAGCCCTGTCATGCCGTAGGCTGATTTACTGAGATGACTAACCATTCTGCAGAGGAATTTGTATGGTTCCCTTGAATTTCCGAGCTTTGGAAGTGTACTGACAGCTGTGGTCAGGTTATACCATGCCCGCAACTGATACAGATGTTCACGAAGTGGAGAAGATGTTCGCGGTGAATGTCTTCGGCCCAATGCGGATGGTCCATTTCTTCCATGCTCTGCTGGTGGAATCAAAAGGTGTGGTGGTCAACATCGGGTCAATTGGTGGCATTGTGCCTTACATTTATGGAGGTAAGACCTCGTCTCATCCGCGAAGAATGCGGCGATGAGTTGACTAATCTCTCCCCTTCTGGTCTTTCGTTTAGCGAGCTACAACGCCAGCAAAGCCGCTCTTCATCACTATGGTAACACATTGCGTGCTGAATTAAAGCCTTTTGGGTATGTCCATTTCATTAATCGGCTATCTCCGACTTGGTCTTCAGACGGTCTACTGACAAGTATACAGAGTCCGAGTGGTCAATGTGATCTCTGGTGAGGTTGGAACCAATATTCTCCGTCGCGATGCGAAGCGTTCTCTCCCTTCAGGTTCGGTCATTTTATTGTCTCAAAAGCCTATTTGTAATTGATTGTGGACAGATTCACTATACCAGCCTCTGGCTGACGAGTTTCAGAGCCATGTGCAGCGAACGCCCAGTATGTCACATGTTTTCATCTTTCCATACGTTCATTGAAGCTCGAATTTTGACCATTTTTATCAGTCACAATTACCCCTGCCCAGTATGCTGCCGCCATTGTGCGGGAAGTGCAAAAGTCCCGCCCAGCAGCTTGGTTCTGGTACGGAGCACGAACTGGGATGTGCCGATGGGGCGACATGTTCTTACCACGCACGTATTGGGTAAACATTCCTTTTGTCTGCCTCAAAAAGCATAAGCATGGCTAATTATTGATACAGGACGGGCTATTTGCAAAGTGGTTCCAATTCGAGAAGTTGGAGCGCGCCCCTAGACAACAGCGTCACAAATTTGAAACACATTGAACCTTGAAAGGGCCATGCCTATCGACTTCATCGGCCGGTCTCAAACAGTGGGGTACAAGAGAAATGATAGTATCATAGCACCAGGGCATTCTCTGGGAGGGGACCAGGTGCCCTAAATAAATCCTTCCGGAGGGAGGCCCGGTTGACCGGGCCGATGTGGGATGGCGATGGAGATCGGATGAGACTCCCTTTATGATGTATGAGGCACAAATCCTCACTCACCAACTTGAAAGACAGTTTCAGTAATTCAAAGAAACTTTTCTTTTACGCCTTGCAACTCTGCTGTTATTTTTGTGCTGTTTTCTTTTTCGTTCAGCCATGTCATTCGGGATTTCTGGCGTTGCCCTCGTTACCGGGGCAGGTAAGTTATTATAACTGCGAAAGTTGTATTCACTAGTACCAAAGGCTATCTCTAACACGGTGTTTGACTAGGAAGTGGTATCGGACGAGACGCCGCGATTTCCTTTGCCGCCGAGGGAGCCATCGCGGTAGCCTTTGCCGACATCGATCTCGCAGCTGCCCAGCAAAGTGCAGATAAGAGCGTCGAATATGCAACAAACCCGGCCTACTGCCCCCTCGCAATTGAGGTTGATGTTACAGACCTGGAAAGCGTAGAGCGTATGGTAGCTCAAGTGGTGGAGATATTCAAACGGATCGACTACAGTGTGAATAGTGCTGGAGTATGACGCCTGTTGATTCTTGATGGGCAAAGGCTTATATGAGCCTTTTAGATCGGAGTACGCGAGCCCAAAACTGTTGTCGATGTGTCGATGGAGGAATTCGATCGATTCTACCGCGTTAACGTGCTGGGAACAATGAACTGCGTGAAAGTGGTTGCTGGCGCGATGCGCCACCAAGCCCCATTGAGAATCCAGGGCCGCAACGGGGAGCGCCATACTGGTCGTGGTGCCATAGTTAACATGGGATCTGCTAACTCTTACATGGCCACTCGCGATATTGTGCAGTACACCACCTCCAAACACGCTGTGCTGGGCATTACACGGAACGCAGGTCTGCCTTTCCCCTCAAGTTATTTGAATATCCATCGAACCAGTTACTGATGAAAATGCAGCCCTGGATTTAGCTAGCGATGGGGTGCGGGTGAACACTATTTGTCCCTCTTGGGTAGATACCCCGATGGTTACCGCCGCTGTGAACGGCAACCCCGAGTTGAGTCCACTCATGGAGAGTGTGTTACCCTTCAAACGCATTGCACAAACAGAGGAGATTTCGGATGTTATAATCTTTCTATGCAGTCCCCGGGCTAGCTATGTCACTGGTAGTGATTGGGTGGTGGATGGCGGGATGACGTTGACGTTGAAGACCTGATTTAGTATCTGACGGATCCATATTGGGTTGTGTGGACTCAATACGATCAGAATGAACATATCAATCAAACCAAAGCTGAAATATCCCCTCTATTTCTATCTAGGAGGAGATTATGAACTATGAGCAATGTTACAGTCTCACATCAGATAACTATGACATGTACCATTCACACTGCATCACCGCATTCTCAGGCATAAATTATACACAATGTACATGATCAGAAACAGCTAACAATAACTACTATAGACTACATCCATACATATACCTATGTAGACACTAAAGAAAAAGTTCAAAGTCTAATTCCCGAGCCGATCTTTCCGGGCCGTTGCCGCTGGACCTCCGGCTTCCCCCGGTCTTCCTTGGAAGGGGTTTCAGCCACCGCCGGGTTTGGCCAACTACAATGCATACAGACTTCCCATCTTGCTATGCGAAGTCGACGTACCCACTGATATCGATTTAGAGTGATCAAACCTACTTCAATAGAGACTCAATTTGTGTTCTATCCCTTTTATTCGTCCCTGGTGAGGGGTACGTCGATCGCCAGACCTAGTGGCTTCTGATTAGTAGCATCACTGGGGTAAAAGCTTGTCGTTAGCCTCAGCCCTTGGCGCAGAAACTCGTATGACATGCGCTTCCCCGGCATGACGGACGAGAAGGGCATTGGCCTCCATCCTCCCGGCGGGAGCATGGATTTGATGCAACTCTGGTGCATGAAACCGATGAATTAGTACCTAGCCGCTCTAAAATTATTAATATATAAGGATCACCCTTGGAAGGTTATGAGGCCATATGTTTTCCTAGAATCTCATTTCCATCGCGTGTATCTCTAGACCTCACCGATGATTGCATTTGTGTCCTAGTATTCATTCTATAATGGCACCACTGATGAACGACCAAGAATTGAGAGGGGTGAGATATCCTCCACCCATTGCCGTGGCCTCATCCGTCTCGGAAGATGATATTGCAATTGTGGGAATGGGTTCGTGATGAATTGATGACCTTAAACGCTAAACACCCAAGCTAAATTCTCCACAGCGTGTCGTCTTCCGGGGGGTGCCACATCGCCATCCAAACTATGGGATCTACTCGTCAACGAGGGCTCCGGCCAGGGAGATGTCCCGAGCTCTCGTTTCAACATAGACGCCTTCTACCACCCAGATGGGTCTAAGCGACCAGGAAGTATGAACATGAAAGGCGGGTACTTTCTGCAGGACGAGGATATTCGAAATTTCGAGAACGAATTCTTTGGGATCAATAACATGGAAGCCAAATACATGGACCCTCAGCAGCGAAAGCTCCTGGAGGTAGTCTTTGAATGCTTTGAGAGTGCTGGTCTGCCTCTGGAGGCAGTTTCTGGTGCCAACATTGGTTGCTACGTCGGGAATTTTACTGTGGACTTCCAGCTGATTCAACTTCGCGATGCTGAATATATGCACCGTTATACAGCAACTGGGATGGGGACCACCATCCTGGGGAACCGGATCAGTCACACATTTAATCTCAAAGGCCCAAGGTACGGCTTCACGAATTTATTTTTGCTTCACAAAATATTTCTCTAACTATTTCTGACTTTTGATATTATAGCTTGGTCATTGATACAGCCTGCTCGTCATCGCTCTATTGCCTTCACATGGCGTGTGCCGCTCTAGAAGCTGGTGAATGCGAAGCGGCGATTGTAGCCGGTGCCAACCTAATCCAAACCCCAGAGCAACATTTCGCAACAATGAAGGCTGGCGTTCTGTCCCCAACATCAACGTGTCATACGTTTGCTGACACAGCCGATGGGTACGGTCGGGCAGATGGGGTTGGAGCTCTGTATGTGAAAAAGCTTGGAGCTGCCTTGCGAGATGGAGACCCCGTTAGGTCGATCATCCGAGCGAGTGCCATAAACGCGTATGAATCCCCCCACCTATTAAAGCATATATATCTCTCTAGTTGCTTATTTCTCACCAATATATCATGCACAGGAACGGCAGAACAGCAGGAATCACACTCCCCAGCAGCATCGGACAAGAAGAGGTTATCCGGAAGGCATATCATAAGGCTGGACTATCCCCAGATAACACAGCCTATGTGGAATGCCACGGCACTGGAACTGCCGTGGGTGACCCAATTGAGGTGGAGGCCGTGTCTCGAGCCTTTAAGCGTTCTCTAGGCTCCGCACCTACTTTGATAGGATCGGTGAAGACCAACCTTGGACATAGCGAGGCTGCTAGCGGTATATCCAGTATCATCAAGGGTACTTTAGCCCTTGAGCATGGTTTCATTCCCGCCACAATCGGTGTCGAGCGTCTCAACCCCAAGATCAAGTCAGATCTGTGGAATGTGCAAGTGGTTACGAAAGGCCGTGCATGGCCAGTGGAAGAATACGAGAACATCCAGCGAATGGGTGTGAATTCATTTGGTTACGGAGGCGCCAATGCCCACGTTATTCTTGAGGCAGCTTCGTCGCTACCAATACGTGTTCCATCCCCAATCGAAACGATTCGCCCTCTCCAGAAACGTACCACGTTCTTATTCCCCTTGTCTGCAAGGACACCGGCATCCCTGCAAGCCCGATGTCAGGACCTGGCAAACTATGATCTTTCCGGAAAGTCGCTGGTCGATCTCGCCTATACTCTTGGGGAGCGCCGATCGCAACTGAGCACCCGTGGATTTCTGGTTGCCAACGTGGATAGCCTTCAGGAGAAACTGAGGAATGGAGACCTCATCACACCGCAGACAGAGCCTATTCAACCCCCCTTCAAATATGCCTTTGTCTTTACTGGTCAGGGGGCACAATGGCCGCAGATGGGTGCAGAGCTTCTTGTCGAATTTCCTGTTTTCCGTGCTGCCCTGCTTGATCAGGATGCAGTGCTGCAATCCCTGCCCAATCCACCCTCATGGACTTTACACGATGCCATCCTTGAACCCAAGAAGACCAGCAAAATCCACGATGTTACTCGGTCACAGCCCGTTTGCACTGCTATTCAGATGGCTCTAGTTGATCTGCTGCGGTCATGGGCTATTTGCCCTGCTAGCGTACTTGGTCATTCATCTGGCGAGATCGCAGCGGCATATGCTGCAGGTCAACTTTCACGCGCCCAAGCTATTATCGCTGCTTTTTACCGAGGACTGTCTGTCAAGACACTGGAAACCTCTGGTGCTATGGCAGCCGTTGGATTATCCAGTGAATTGGCCAATGCTGAGATTCATCAAGCTGGACTGCAGGACAAAATGTGCGTGGCCTGCATCAACTCTCCGGATAGCGTAACGCTTTCCGGCGATGAATCAGCCGTGGACTGTATGGTTGCCACATTGGAAGGACGGAAGATATTTGCAAGGAAGCTCAAGACGGACGGCCGGGCGTACCACTCGCACCATATGCTTGCCATCGGCAAGCAGTACGAGAGCCTAGTGAGCTCTGCCTTTGATGACCATCGCAAGGGCTTCTTCAAATATCCTCAAGAGGCCACATTTTTCTCTTCGGTGACAGGAGAGCTCAAGGGGAACGGATTTGCTCCAGCATATTGGCGCGAGAACCTTGAGAAGCCGGTGCGCTTTATAGATGCGGTTAGCCAGATGGCAGAGTCCGGTGCCCATCAGATCATTGAGCTGGGCCCTCACTCCGCCCTTGAGTTGCCGATAAAACAGATTCGCAATCATTTAAAGCTCTCTCCTAGTCAGCTGCCATACGCCAGTGCTCTCACAAGGGGGAAGAATTCGACTGAAAGTATCCTCTCGCTGGCAGGACATCTCTGGATAAACAACCACCCCATCCAAATGTCACTAGTGAATTATCCAGTTTATGGTAGCAAGGCTCGTGGACCGCATCCTCACGTACTTCATGATCTGCCGCCGTATCGCTGGGAGTACGATGCTGTGCTTTGGAACGAATGCCGCGAGAGCTCCGAGTTCCGCTACCGCAAGCATAGCCGGCATGAGCTGCTTGGATCTAAGCTGGCAGCGGGCAGCGAGACAGAACATGTGTGGCGAAATATGCTTCATGGCGATGATGCCCCGTGGTTGTTGGACCACTGCCTAGAGAAATCTGCCGTCTTTCCAGGATCAGCATATTTGGCTATGGCTGCGGAGGCAGTAGCACAAGCTCTCAGTTGGCCTCGCTTGGCTACTCATACAATTTATTTCCAAAATGTTCACTTTCTCTCCGCTATGAGGGTTCCCGCCTCACAGGACCCGCCGGTGGAACTTTTCACATCATTACGTCGAACCCCGAATACCAAGGCGAGCGTTTCAAGCATATGGTGGGACTTTAATATCTCAACCTGTGAGAATGCAGCCACCACCATCTGTGCCACGGGATCCATCAGTGTGTCAGATGTCCAAGAACCCATCGTACCAGTTTGCGACATGAGTGTTTCGGATCTCGAGCCTTCAGCGGTCCGTATCTGGTATGAGCGACTTGCGAGTGCGGGACTTAATTACGGTGAGGCCTTCAGCTCTATCACCCATGTATCTGTGCCTCGTGCTCGCACCCAGAATGTATGTAGTGCCCAGGTCCCGTTTATACAGAGCTTCCCTGGCAGCGAAGCTCCCGAGCCAGAATATACCTTCCACCCAATCCTTGTGGATGCCATGGTCCAAGCAGGGATTATTGCTACCGCTGCCGGTCGCACGAGCGAGATGAAAGCGTTTGTACCCATCACCATACGGTCGGCCACTTTCCAAAATCCGGACGCGATAATTTCGGGGGCGAACTGCTATATAAATGCCACTGCCTCCGTTCGCGGTCCTGGGGCTGCTAGCTTCCAAGCGGATCTAATCACTACCCAAAATCAGGTGGTTGCCCAAATCGAATTCGGCCGTCTACGCCAGTATGAGCCAAACCGCACACCGAGAGATGCCGTTATTGCTCGCCATCCTATGCTTCGTGTTCTGTGGAAGCCCAAGATATACGGCACAGAGTTCATGCAAGAGCCGGCCTTTACCCGCTATCTTGACAACTTCGTAGCGGAAGCTCGGTCTCCCGTCAAGGATGAGGGATTACTCAAGCTCGGAGCAACAATAAACTTGCTCTCTCACCGAAATCCGCGACTGCGTATTCTGGAACTGGGATCTTGCAGCCGAGATTTCACTGTGGCGGTACTAGCCCTTCTGTACGCAGACAATGACTACCGTCGCCTTTCGTCTTACAGTACGGGATATCTGGATGACAAAGGCATCTTGCGTGCAGTGGAGTGGGACTTGACGTCGAGCAAAATGGCGGAGATACATGATCCCGCCGAGGCTCCTGTCATCGACAGGAAGTGGGATTTGATTCTGCTCCCGGATACCCTTTCAGCTACTCAGTACTTACACCACGAGCTGCACCACCTGACCGGGCTCGTCTCGCCCGATGGCGTTGTACTAGCCAAGCCAACACTGTACTCCGGTCTCCGTGGACAATCTGGCAACTCGTTTGATACACTACGCTCAACGCTTCATGATGGTTCCGGGGAAGTTCTTCTGGTCCGTCCCCATCAAAGCCTTTCACTACAGATGGTGACAAGGAGCAAACCTATTATAGTCATCGAAAAAGAAACCAATGCGTTAGGTAGCGCCATCCTTGCAAATATGGAGGGTATCCGCTTGGACTTTGATAAGATCGATGCCAACTCCGCTCAACTTCTAGCTGGGTCCACGGTCATCTCGCTAGTCGAAGCAACCAATCCTTTCCTCGCTACAATTAGTGGTCAGGAAATGGACGCATTGAAGCTAATCACTGACAACGCTTCTACTATTCTGTGGGTCACTAATGGTGACATGCTGAGTGGGGCACGTCCAGACTTCGCCCTCGTTGCAGGCCTGTCCCGTGCACTGATGCTGGAACAGCCTGCACTACAATTCCTGACGTACGATATAGACAACCCCAGCAAAGACCCAAAACAGTCCGCCCACAATATAGCCCACGCTATCTTAGATCTTGATGGGACGCTCTCTGACTATGAATACGTGGAAAAGGATGGAGTGGTACACGTCAGTCGCTTTACTCCAGACAATGACCTTAACCTCGCGTTCCGGCAGAAGCAGGGGTCAGAGAAAGTTGAGTTGTCCTTGCAGGAAGCTCGACCAGTACAAATTGCACTCGATCAACCGGGTCGGTTTGACGATATCTATTTTAAGCAGATCGAGATTCCAACAGCCCTGGCACCAAAGGAAGTACAGGTGCAGGTCAAGGCAGTGGGCTTGAATGCAAAAGATCTGTATGTCCTAGCAGGGAAGGTTGATACTCCCAATGCCACTTGCACTCTAGAGTACAGTGGTATTGTTGAGCGAATCGGTGTCGAGGTCGAGGAACTACATATTGGCGACCGTGTGGTGGTCATGGCCCCGGGGCATTTCAAGTCCTCCGAGACTGTGCCCGAGTGGGCGTGCAAGAAGTTAAGGGATAGTGAAGACTTCGCGACCATGTCCAGTCTCCCACTTGTTTACTCCACTGCCATCTATGCATTGACTATGCGGGCTCGACTGCAACCAGGAGAATCAGTTTTAATTCATTCCGGTGCTGGAGGAGTCGGTATTGCAGCCATTCAGATCGCCCAAATTATGGGGGCGCAGGCATGTCTTCTTTTCTCCAATGTTTGGAATAAAATGTTAACTTATCATTAGGTGTTTACCACAGTGTCGACTGAGGAGAAGAAGACGTTCTTGGTCGACGCTTTCGATCTTAACCCCAACAATATTTTTACTTCCTGTGATGATTCGTTTGCACGCGGCGTGCTCAATGCAACTTCTGGAAAGGGAGTCGACGTTGTTCTCAACTCGTTGACCGGCGACTTACTCCACGCCAGCTGGCGGTGCTGTGCAGCATTTGGTCGCTTTATTGAGATCGGCAAACGAGATATACTTGACGATGGGCGGTTGGAAATGAACGGCTTCCTGAAAAACGCGACATTCTCGGCATTTGATCTCGCGGACATTTACAATCATCCCGGAGAACAGTACCGCGAAATTTGGTCCGGCCTACTCAATCAAGTGATAGAACTCTATCGCTCAAATCGGATTACCAATATTGCGCCAGTTCGCGTGTTCGATGTATCGGAGATCGGCAGCAGTCTGCGCTACTTCTCATCTCGAGCCCGGATCGGCAAGGTCGCGATCAGTCTTGAGAAGGATTCTACCATCGTCCCAGTGCGGGTCTCCAAGTTTTGTGCAACCTTCTCACCCAAAAAGACCTACCTCATGATCGGGTGCCTAGGTGGGCTTGGTCGTAGCATAACGAAATGGATGATGTCGCGAGGTGCTCGGAAATTTATTTTCCTTGGTCGATCCGGAACGGACAAGCCCAGTGCGTGGCGGCTTTTTCAAGATCTCACTCTCAATGGCGCAAAGTGCAAAGTCATCCGGGGTGACATCTGCAACAAAGCTGACGTTGAGACTGCGGTCGCGGCTGTGGATGGATTAATCGGGGGTGTCATTCAAGCAGCAATGGGTCTAAACGTAAGTTCTATCTCACCATAACAACTAGCTGAAGCTAGCTAACCGCTGATACAGGAAGCTATTTTCACTGACATGTCGCATAAGTACTGGCATACAGGTATTGATCCCAAAGTTCACGGGTCTTGGAATCTACACCATGCTATTAAGGGCAAGGACTCGGAACTCGAATTCTTCTTGATGACAAGTTCCGTCTCTGGTAGTGTTGGCACAGCCACGGAGTCGAATTACTGTGCCGGCAACTCCTTCCTAGATATGTTTGCACGCTATCGACGGGCACAGGGCCTCACGGCACAAGCAATCGGCCTTGGTATGATAAGCGAAGTCGGCTACCTCCATGACAACCCTGAAATTGAGGCTTTACTTGTCCGAAAGGGTATCCAGGCAATTAATGAAGACGAGCTCCTTCAGATCGTCGACATTGCGCTATCCAATGATCAGCTCACAATCCCACACCCAGTCGATCATCTGGCCAAATCGCATGTGCTCACGGGTCTCGAACCCTTTGGGCTCCTAGATCTGCGCAGGAAGGGCTTTGAGGTTACAAACTTGACATTCCGCGACCCTCGAGCTGCGATACTCGCTCGTGTCATGGATGGCGAAGATGATCAATCACAAACAACGCCGGAGGGTCAGTTATTAGCAGATGTGCTGGAAGAAGGGATTCCCCTTGCCGAGGCCATTCAGAAGAGTGTTGCCGGTCGGCTAGGTAATCTAGTACTCTTGCCGCTGGAAAAGGTGCAAGTCAACAAGCCTTTGGCGCAGTTCGGCATGGACAGCATGATTGCATCTGAGTTCCGGGCGTGGATTTTCCGGGTATTTGAGGTGGATATTCCTTTCTTGGAGTTATTGAGCAAAACTGTCACGGTGTCTTCGCTATCGACCACCATCACTCAGGTTCTCGGTAGCCTTCAGTCATAGATATGGATATTAATAAATTTCTATTCCACCAATTAGACTATGTTGCCTCGCTTGTGCGGGCCGGGTCAAATTTATCTCATCGGTATAATACCATGTAAGTATGCATTGACAGGATTCTTGAATATTTCTAGGCACACAAAAGACAGCCATCCCACCGGCTTTCCAGTGGGGTTGGGGCGCCCACGTGCGAAGCCAGTGCAAATATTAATGAGACGCCACTTTTAATCACAACAGACCTAGGTACTTGAGCAGAGCTGAATGGCTAGCTTTGGATCGCATCCCGGCTTCCTGTGTAAAAGCAAGCAGCAATGCAGAGCAGTTTCTTGAATTCGTGACTTGCTATCCAAAAATTAAGTGTACTGTAATTAGTCATACAGACGCGTTCGAAATCAGTTTCACCTCTTTACTCTCTTGTTGAACTCGATTTTGCATGACGCCATACCTTTTATGGTTAGCTTACCTCTGACACGCATTCTGGGCTGTACGGTAATCAATATCATCGAAGGCAAGCAAATTGCTCACTTCGTAAGAGCCATCCCGCTGCTGTCCAATTTTCCGCAGGGTCCAATTTCGGATGCTAGACACGTACCTCAGCAACCCAATTGCTTGGTCCTGTAGCCTCGTGCCGCACTCGGCGAGCTTTTTCGTCATCGAGCTCGCAGCTGCCCACATTTCATCAGACAACGCAGGCCCCGCTACATCAAGGCAACGCGGATGAACCTCGTAATGAGCAGAGACGAACAGACCCCATATTTCGCTTGGTGTGCTAATAGACCTTCGCATATCGACTGCCGTTCCCGAGACGAAATTGGTTATAGCAGCTCTAAGAATGAGACATCACAGCAAGCACTCACAAATTCAATGGCTTGGGAGGCGAGTGAGGTGATACGTTGCTATGTAACAAGTATGACGTTCAACACGAATGACTGGGACATGCCAACAACCTGATAGCCCTTCGGCGTGGTGTGCACCCGTGGGTGATTACTACAACTGGAGAGTGATTGAGGTACGTCGTTTCTACTCTTTATTGGACACCAATTGATATCAAATAGCAATGCGACGTCCTTCCTCTCTATAAGGTGCTCAGTTCATTTACCGATCTTGAAGATATCGAGGATCGATTCAAACAGAGCGCCGAGGGCCAATACCAAGGCGATAAAAAAGACCAAAGGGGTCGACACATCAAATACAAGTTCCAACTTCTTGATCCACATAACGGGCATCCCCTATCAATCTACATGATGCCCAGTACGACTACGGCGAATCATCATTCTGTATTTCCTCCCAAGTCATTTTCGACTATCTCTGGAACCGCTAACACAGACTAGGCGCGATGATCGATAGGTATGCGCCTAAAAATTTCCTCACAAAGCGCAAAGACTTGCGCTCTCAAGTCCTAAACGCGAAGGCCGCTATAATGACACCCTTTGTACCTACAAAATCCGTTTGGACTATGGAGTATAGGATACCTGAAGGTGAAGGGGACGAGCTATATATTCAAACGCTCCTACAAGGTTCACTTGTTAATATTTCCGCGTTCAAAGTTGCCGGCAAAATCTCAAGCAAAGATCCAGAACTTCGACGATAGCCCCCGTCATTCCTCGTTGGCCCTTACGATAGATTGCCGTCCGAATTACAGTTATCAGTGGCTCATTCAACCAAAGAATGAGAGTAATGTGACCTTCTGGCTAGAGCCCACAAATGGGAAGGCCAAAAAAATCAAGTCCGGCGACCTTCTATGGATCAAGTCTTCGCAGGACAAATATGTTTACATGCCAAATGGTCCGTTCGTTGCTGCAGAGCCCTGGGATGATGCGACATCGCGTGGAACCGTCTGGAAAGTAAAACTTTATGATGAGAGAGAGGTGATCGTAAGGTGAATTATAACATACGGCTCACAGCTTCAACAGCTAGGTAGACAAGATATTTCAACAAGCTTGCACATGCGCGTTACTATTTATATACAATAGATCAAACAGAGTGGAACATATTGGATTTACAATCCTATACAACCCAAGAGTCTTTGAAGATCCATCTAATTATGATGGTTGACAGACAATCAATGAAGCTGAGTATAGCAGCAATTGTTCGCTAGCACCAAACTTAAGATGTGCTTTTTACACTCGGGGTGCCGTTTCTGTCAATACAGCGGCTATGCGCATCGTCAACTCAGGAATCAAGGGTAGATGTGTGGATGACGTTGCTCCCAGGCCGGAGAAAGTGGCTGCTTATCGTCGGCTCAGTTCGACCTTCAACTTGCAACCTACCCGGGGAGGTGTGTGGTTTACCTTGACCATTGCGGATCCTTAAATCCTCTTGACAACTTTTGCATATAGAGCTAGACAGGCTACAGACTCTCGTCAATCTATGGCGCGCGCGTTCCCCAGCGCATGCGCATACCAGTTCTTATCGCCGAAGCCCTCCACCCACTTCAAGGCCACCACACTAGCAGCTCAAACTTCACGTTCATACAGTACCCCAGGGCCTCAAATATTTACTCGTTGGGCTACCTCTCTGCGCTCTCAGACTGCACTCCTACGACAACCCCGAGAGCAATCACATCTCTCATTCCATACACCTTCCCCGAGCGACCGGCGCACTTTCTTCTCAAGCCATAGATCCCCCTACCAACAGAGGCAGAACCAATACAACCGATTCCGAGGCGGCGCCCGCAAACCTCTCATCTTCCGCTTAATACAGAATGCAAAACCGCACCACTTTGTTGCGATTGGCGTGGGGATATCCGGACTTTATCTATACAACACGGAGATAGTGGAGATGACCGGTCGACGGCGGTTCAACTGTGTCTCTCGTCACCAGGAACTAAACATGGGCCAAGAGAGTTACCGCGAGGTCCTCATTGCCGAGCGTGGGAAGATTCTGCCCAGTAACCATCCTCTCACTCGCATGGTGGATGGTGTGCTGCAGCGGTTGATCCCGCAGGTGGATATTGAGGGCGCTGATTGGAAGGTTCATGTCATCAAGGATGATGAAATGGTCAATGCTTTTGTGCTTCCTGGGTAGGTTTTGCTGTGTTTGTGTTGATGTTTGGGTCCTCTAGTCGTGGATATGGCTAACATTGTTTTGCTTCGCTTAGGGGGAAAGTATTCGTCTACACGGGCATCTTGCCCATTTGCAAAGATGAGGATGGCTTGGCTGCTGTACTGGGACATGAGATTGCTCATGTCGTGGCTCATCATCCTGCAGAGCGTATGAGCAACAGTTTCATTACCCTGGGAGCCGTGTTCGCTATCTCTTTCTTGTTCGATGTCTCCGGGCAGTTTACTTCTTTCCTTTTGAATCTCATGTATAGCTTGCCGAACTCGCGGACGCAAGAGGTATGATTATTTTCTCGGTTTTACTCCGGTTTGACTCTACAGTCACTTGGCTAATTTCTATCTACAGGCTGAAGCAGACAATATCGGACTAAGTATGAACCCTTGAAGTTAGGACCAACTTGCGATTATGTCGCTAACGATGATTTCAAGTGATGATGTCCAAAGCCTGTTTTAACCCTGAGGCTGCCGTCAAACTGTGAGTCGATATGACAGAAGGCGTCAGCGTCTTGGGCTTTGCTGATAATTGCTAGATGGGCTCGCATGCATGAACAGGAGAAACAGGCCCCTCCACAGTTCATGTCCACTCACCCATCGGTATGCTTGGAGAAGTCCTAGAAACGAATCATAACTAACTCATAGTAGAGCTACAACCGAATGGAAGCCATTCAAGGATGGTATGACCATTTCCCCAGCCTTGACTTGTTTGTTACTGATTCGACCAAATAGGCTCGACAAGGCCGAAGCGACGTACGAGGAGAGTGGGTGCAGCTCTATTAAAGGATACAGTAAGAGTTTCTTTTCTTTGTGCCATATGCCAAGTTGCTAATTTTTCTAGTGCCTGGTTTCCGAACTGCTTATAATTCGCATGTCTCGTATTTGAGATGATCAACAGAGCACCCAAGTCAATAGTGCAATTGATGGTAACTGTACAACAGCATTAATCGATGCATTAATAAACATGGGAGCATCTCCCATTACAGAAGTCATGAAATATAAAGCAAAAACTTGTAAAACATGAACAACGTGAAGAAAAGAGATTGTAAAGTCGCTGATCTATAGACCACGCCAAGCAACTGGGCAACTGGCTCCCCCTCGTGCAAACCGAGCAAACCCACCACCGCAGCTCCAAAAATTGCCCGGCACAGCAGCTCCATCCACTCCCTCACATTCAACCCATTTGATATCCAGTCGCATCTCCTTCGGACGCGACCTAATATCATGTCGCTATCAATTCCAGGTCCCTCCCAAGCGGGGCTTTTCAAGCCCGGGTACCAGAGGTGAGTTCGAAAAGACGGGAAGCCCGAAAACCCACCGCAATAGGGACCTCCTTATCTAGCGCTCCTCCAAAATGAAGCAACCCAATTGACTGATCTGTGTTTCCTGCTGTATAGCCACGATGCCGAAGATGGAGCCGTTATCCGTAACATCGAAGCCTGCCAGGCTATCTCAGGAACCGTCCAGACCTCTCTGGGCCCCTATGGCCGCAACAAGATCGTCATCAACCACCTGCAGAAGATGATCCTGACCTCCGACGCGGCTACGATCCTTCGTGAGTTGGATGTTGTTCACCCCGCTGCTAAGCTGCTTGTTATGGCAAGTCAGCAGCAGGATGCGGAGATGGGCGATGGTACCAACTTGGTTATTGTGTTGGCCGGTGAATTGTTGAAAAAGGCAGAGGAGTTGATCCGTATGGGCCTCAAGACAAGTGATATTGTTTCCGGATACGAGAAGGCTCAGAACTATGCCTTGAAGGTTCTGGAGGGTATGTTTTCCCCAATTCGTTTGTCGATATACAAGTGAGGGAATGTTTCTGATTTCGTCTAGAGCTCGAGGTCGACAGACTCCAGGAAATGCGATCGGCAACAGAATTGAGCAAGGCTCTCCGCACAGTGGTGGCTTCTAAGCAGTCCGGTACGGAAGATGCTTTGGCTGCGTTGGTCGCGGAGGCGGTTCTGGCTGTGTTGCCCAAGAACCCGGTTAACTTCAACGTCGACAACGTGCGAGTCGTTAAGATCATGGGTGGTAGCTTGGAACAGTCGAAGGTGGTGAAGGGTATGGTCTTCCCCCGGGAGCCCGATGGAACTATCAAGAAGGCCACCAAGGCAAAGGTCGGCGTTTTCAGCTGCCCCATCGATATCAGTCAGACCGAGACCAAGGGCACAGTTCTCCTGAAGAATGCTCAGGAGATGATGGACTTCACCACGGGTGAGGAGGATCGTCTGGAGACTGCCATTAAGGAGCTCTACGACTCTGGTTTGCGTGTGGTCGTTGCTGGCTCCACTGTTGGCGACTTGGCCATGCACTACCTCAACCGTTTCAATATCCTGGTCATTAAGATTCTGTCTAAGTTCGAGCTCCGCCGCTTGTGCCGCGTTGTCGGCGCCACACCTCTGGCTCGCCTGGGTGCCCCTATGCCCGATGAGATGGGCCAGATCGACGTCGTCGAGACGACCGAGATTGGCGGTGACCGAGTGACCGTCTTCCGCCAGGAGGATGTCAACGCCATCACCCGCACAGCAACCATTGTCCTGCGCGGTGCCACCCAGAACCACCTGGAGGACGTCGAGCGTGCCATCGACGACGGCGTCAACGTCGTCAAGGCTATCACCAAGGACCCCCGTCTGGTGCCCGGTGCCGGTGCCACGGAGATCGAGCTCGTCGAACGGATCTCCAAATTCGCCGACCGAACACCCGGTCTGCCCCAGTACGCCATCCGCAAGTTTGCCGAGGCCTTCGAGGTCGTCCCCCGCACACTCGCCGAGTCTGCCGGTCTCGATGCCACCGAGGTTCTCTCGCGTCTGTATACCGCACACCACCGCGCCACTGCTCCGGGCGAGTCATCTTCCGAGGAGGAGGGCAGCTCGTCTGAAGAGGAGGAACCATACTGGACTACGGGGGTGGACCTTGAGATTGGCGACTCCGACGGCACTCTGGACACTGTCGAGGAGGGTATTCTAGATCTTATGGCTACGAAGATGTCTGCCATCCGTCTGGCCAGTGAGTCTGCCCGGACGGTACTGAGCGTCGACCAGATCATTGTCTCGAGACAGGCAGGAGGACCCAAGCCTCCGCAGGGTGGAGGTGATTGGGACCAGGACTAAATTTTTTAAAAAAGGAGTGATGAGGGTCTGGATGCTGTTTGATAATATGAGGCCTATAGATCTTCGTACGATGAGACGCTTTTTGAGAACCATTGTAGATTGGACTACCTTTCTCTTCCAGTGCTTTCTCTTTACTGTCTTCGTAGATACTCACATATCTTTTTACAATGAAAAAGGATATCAGAATTGAGTTGATCATGCGTCTAGTGCTTCGGCGGTGTTTGCCTGGTAGGTAGACAAAGATGCCTGAGGCAAGATAGATCACGTGCTACTCCCAGATTTTCCTTCAGTGTTTCCTTTTGGCCTTGATATCAACGAGCCGCGATTCCAATCCCCACCACTTTCCTCTAATTTTCCTTTCTCTCGAGCTTCCCTTTTTATCACCTCCGCCATGTCCTTCTCCACCCAGGCCGCAGCCCGCTGCGCCAGACAGCTCTCCGGCTCCGTCCGCCCGTCCTCCCTGCGCATCGCAACCTCCGCTACATACCTCACAGGCCGTCGCACACCTAGCAGCCGGCGATGCGAATCCACCCAGGCGGCCCCTGCTGCTACCACCAACCCCAAGATCTCCCAGATTGTCGACCAGATCAGCACATTGACGCTGCTCGAGACTGCCGACCTGGTGTCTAGCTTGAAGGTGGGTTTGACAATCTACACATAATCAATGGATTTCCAAACAGGAGATGTGGGCCTTGCATATATCTCTCTATATACATCGTCACTCTACTCAATTAAGTATTTCTCCGAACCATTGCTAATAAAACATTTGCACAGACCCGCCTGAACATCCCCGATCTTCCCGTTGGCGGCTTCGCCATGGCTGCTGGTGGTGCCCCCGGTGCGGCCGCTGCTGCTGTTGAGGAGGAGGAGGCTGCCCCCGCTGCTGCCGAGAAGACGCTGTTCAACCTGAAGCTCGAGTCGTTCGAGCCTACCTCCAAGCCCAAGGTCATCAAGGAGATTAAGACCATGCTCGGCCTGTCGCTGGTGGACAGCAAGAAGTTCGTCGAGTCCGCGCCCAAGGTCCTGAAAGAGTCTGTGCCCAAGGAGGAGGCGGAGAAGCTCATTGAGACGTTCAAGGCGCTCGGTGCCAAGGCGACTATGGAGTAGAAGCTGTGTTATTATTTAGGTACGGGGAGGGGATAGATTGGGAAGAGAGTTGGGGGAAGATGTTGTCGATTTGGTCTTTTCCTCTCTTCTTCTTCTCTTTGGATTCTTGCTTTGAGAGACCTTCTTGAGCATTTATTGTGTTCGGCCTGGCAGATCAAGGCAAAATGTACATTATACGCATTGTGTTCCGGGACCGTCTGGTACAGATGGCTCGTTTGGTTAATTGATGCATTTAGCATATCGATGCTATTCTATTACCTTTAAAATCAGTAGCTATCTTTTAAATACTACATTAGCGTCTATTCAACTTGGTAGATCTAAATGTTAAATGTCGGAGTAGCTTCGCGGTGAAGTTCCCGATTTCCAGCACTTCAACTAGAGAGAACCTTTCACCCTACCAACCCCCACGATCTTGCCTCCACACTCTTTTCATGGCCAGATCATTGATTTTGCCGTTACAATGGCGTCAATTACATCAAGCTCTCTGTCCGAAAGCCCACACCTTGCGTCACCACGGCGCGCAAGCTTGCACCGCTCTAGCTGTCACCAATAGCAACACAACCACATCGAAACGACCCTTCCACACCACTCAACCTCGATCAGCTTTCAGGCCTCCTCGCCGATCACCATCTGTTCGAATACAAGAGAGGAGGGGGACAGGAGAGGTAGAGCATGTGTTGGTAGCGCCAGATGGAGTGAAACTAGACCGTGATGGGTTTTCGAATTTTTATTGTACTGCGCATGTTGAACCAACATTGGCTGAGTTTAAGCAATTCACGCGCCAACTTTATGAGACTTATGATCACCTCATACCGCCGGGTGTCAACTTGGCGACGTTTGGGTCAGTGGGTGAACAGTTGATCAGGCTGTCGCACTCGCAGCTCCCTTCCGCAAGTCTTGTACGGAGTATCTCAATAGGTTAGTTTGAATTTCGAATGAGTATAGCGGTCTTGATACTAACTATGCAATTTGTTACAGATGTCGACGCCGTTTATCGAATCGCGTTCGTTCTTAGAGCTCTTTCAAAAGGCCACTACGTCTATCAATGGGCGTTGACCAGCTGCGCAAAAGCACATTCGCGCCGAGCCCTTGTGGATCTCGTGAACCGGTACGTCAGCACGGAAGGCGTGGACGTTTACGAAAACACCGAGTGCATAGCGCAGATCAAAGACTTGGCTCTGAAAGACGAATTCCCTCACGCGATTATGCTATATGCCAAACTGCTCATCTGGCGTGGTGAGAACGGCCAAGCCGCCCGGCTTCTAGAACAGAAAATTCTGCCATATCTGCAACCCGTTAGCAGACACCCTCCCATTTGGGAGGATATAACCTTATTGGACGACTTCGATTCGCCCTGGCGGATGTACGCTATTGCTGTTGAAAAGGAACAGGGACTAGCAGGAATCCAGAGGGCCACGCGCCGAGCCGCTCTGGAGTTCTATGACCCACTTGCCATGACTGACTATGCCATCTCCGTGTTGGAGACAGATCAACCTAACAAATACGAGGTGTATGAGTCGTACATGGCCGCCGCTGCGTTGGGGCAACACACCCCAGCCTGCCTTTACCTTGCCAATCTCTATTACCGCATCTCTCAAGGCGAATTTACAACCGAAGCAGAGAGAGATGCCAAGGAGAGGGAAGAGGCCTATGCCGCGCGCAGCGCCTGGATGAGACGCTTCGAACCTATAGAGAAGTGGGTTAATACATTGTTCAACCAACCTCTGGATCGCAAGTCGTACCGCATGCTCGCGATGGATTGGTACGAGCTTGCTTTTGATAAGGGAGACAGTGAGGCTGGGTACATCCTGGCCTTGCTCTATCGCGAAGATGGCGATATGGAGAAGAGCCGTGATATGTACAAGCTTATTGCTCGAAGGGGTTTTCCGGCCTCGTTGTCGAAGAAAGGCCTGAAAGAGATGAGGGATAAGTGGGAAGACCAGACCTTCAAACCTGGTCTGCCTCCTAAGCTCTTGAGGCTTGCATAGATGGTCTAGAGTGTTGTGCTTATATCTATGCTGTATATTCTTTTGCCTGTATATGCCACTGTATCACAGCAATGTTTTCTATTTGGGCCTTTTGGGCCTTGATTGATACTTTTTCTTCTATGTGTCCCCCGCTCCCAAGCATTCATTTCTCATCTTGCCTACCCCATGTCGAACTGACAGAGAAAGCAAAAGATCAGAACTGTCGTCATGATTGAAGAAAAGAATCAAACGCCATCCTTGTTTTCCTCCCCAAATCCAAATTTCCTTTCCTCATGCCAAACCCGAGACAAAGCCATTCACAGACTCCAAACTAACAAGCAGATATTCAAAGGGTGATAATATCAACACAACAGAAGAAGACAAAAGAACCCTCCAAAAGAAAAGAGAAGAACCACAATTCACAATTCACCGCCTCTTCTTCCCCTTCCCCTTCCCATGCCCCCTTGTCTTCAACTCCACAAACCCAAGCTCTTTCAACCCCTCCGCAAGAATCGATGAATCCCTCATGCCGGGGAAATCCTTCGCAGGATACACACGGAACGGATCAGACCACGCCTCCGCAAGAATCGGCATCGACTGCCCCGTGTCCTCAACAGAGCCCCAATTCATCAATCGAAACTGGAGTCTGTATAGGCCTGCCGAGCGGATCGAAAGATCCGCGAAGATGAAAAAGGTGGCTGGTTGGTGGAGGCGCGAGGCAGCGTGTTTGTAGGCGTGGTGCGCGGGGTTGGAGAGATGAGGATCAGTGATGGAGGATGGGTGTGCCGGAGCGGAGTTGGGGTCTGGGTCGGCGTCAACGTAGAAGGGGGACATGAAGGCTTTCCCGGATAGTAATGGGGTGGAGAAGTTGTCGTCTGTGCGGGCGACACCGTCTGTTTCTCTTTCTCTTTCTCGTTCTCTTTCGCGTTCTCGTTCCCTATCGCGATTTCGGTCCCGGTCTTGATCTCGCTCCTGCTCGCGCGCATGTGGTTCTGTTGGTTCGGCATATGGTAAAGAGGGTGAGACGGGGAATAGTAGACACCCTACTGTGAAGCGGGGGTCTTGGAGGAGATCCCGGTCTTCTTGTGAGTTGGGGTCGAAGTCGGTGAGGAGAATCTGCACGATTGGGGGTGGGTCGACTGGGCGGCGATCTCTGTCGCCTGCGCCGCAGGCTCGTGCAGCAATGGGTTGTTGTCGGATGTGGAGATGGTATCGGGATTGGGTGGATCGTCGTCTGGGTGGTGGAGCGGTTGATTGTGATTGTGACTCTGGTTCATGGTGGAGGAGTTTGTCGAAGCCGTGTGGCATTCTGTAGTTCACGTTTCGGGATTGTGGTTTCGGGTCTTGGTGCATGTTGGGTAGCATGGGGTTGAATGCGTGGGTGGCTGCGCTTTTATCTGACCAGACTGGACTGGGCATGGCTGTGGAACTGCTGCTGTCTATATGATATTTCGTCAGAATGTGGTTCTTGTTCAAATGTTATCTCTGCATTGTGTAACCTGTCACATATGTGACATGAGACGAGGGGTTGTGTTCGAATTTCTCAAGTCAAAGACATGACATCGCATCAGGACGGAGCACTGACAGATAGAGGCGGTTCAATCGACAGAAACGAAAAGAGAGGGACTTTACTGGGACTCCACGTCGTATGTCCAGCTCCGGTGACTCTCATAGTCACGGGCATGGCTCGAATTTGGGTATGTTCTCTCCTCATATGGGTTGTAGTAACCGCGTGCATCAGAGCTTCCCGGGTGTTGATAGGATCGCAGAGGGACCGTTTGGGGAATAGTCTGTGTGTTCAGGTAGGCATTGTCGGACGAGAGCATATATCGTGGATCCGTGCTTCTTTCAGGAACAACCAAGGCAGGAAGCCTTGGACCAAGGGGTGCCCCGTGCATAGGGTACCCATAGCTCGTGCTCTGGGGTATGATCTGTCGAGGCTCATGTCGATACGGATATGGCATGGGTGTTGGGCCGTGTTGAGTGCGGGGGACCGAATCGATGTATGGCCGCTCCGGTGTGGAATTCCCACATTGCTGTGGCGGTGGCCTCGCCATCTATTGTTCGGGACTTGCGCAAGTGCCGGTAGGTGGTCCTTGTGTTATAGTTTAGATATTGCCGTATTCGGGTTGGTTTCAGATGAGGCAGGTTGCAGACGAGGCATTGAATATAATGCACAAAATGGTCAGATAATCACGATCAGAACAGAATCAATGTCCGTCCCAGATTGAATTATATATCTTGGGAATGGGAAAGAAGAAAACATATCCGGTCAATGAAGGCATCTGATGATCCACATGTGAATGCAGGTTAACAGCAGTGCCTCATGACACTACTTCGGTATCCTTTTTTCTTCGCTGGCCCTGTGAAATTGGACCTATACTTCCCTCGGGGGGATTCGTTGGCCACCGATTTTCTTCAGGAACCGGGAGAAAAAAAGCGTCCACAGCAAAATTTAAACACCCCTGTCCAGTTTCCCCGAGCTATCCAACCACACGCGGGCTGGAATATGACACGGACGTGGGAATGGCAAATGTCATCAGTATTGGATAATGTTTTGTAGAAACACATCCATGGATTGATGCTCTACGATTGGCGTATCCACCGATAATGAGAAAGGGAAGAGCCGGAACGGGGAACGGGCCGAGCGGGTTTTGCCACGAGAAAGGGGAGACCAGAACTAGCAAGTGCGCGTGGACATGGGGTTTATGGGTTGTGCCTCCATGGGAATGGTGCGTGGAGGAGCTAAATGAACAAGGATGGCAGAAAATGGCTGGATTTCTCGAAAGACGGTCAGGCAACTGAATATGAGTGGAAGCTGTTCTGCATTGTGGAACTCGGTACAACTGGGGTGCTCTGAAGTATCTGTACGGAGTACACGGAGTGCAGCCCGTTTTCAACCCATCGGGATATTGCGAACGGAAGGAAAAAAAAAGATGTAACAAAGTCCTTGTGGGATTGTGGCTTTTTTGCGAACCGGTCTACGGGGTTTGTGGGCCACAAATTGAATAGGAGGTTATCGTGTCTCCGTACGGAGTACGGTGTCACTGGCTTTTTAGCGAAAAAAAACTCAGATCTCCGCTTTATAGAGTATAGAACAGCAAATTTGGCGATTGCTGACCGACAAGCCTCCAGCTGGTCCTTGGCTTTCAAATCCCAAGTGACTGGATCTGGAAGCTGGTGTGAGGCGCGATTGGCGTTCGACCGTTGCTTGGCAATCCTTCGGAAAAAGATCTGCCCTTCCCCCCACAATGGGGAATCTGGCTGTGTTCACTGGGATTCACCGTGATGGTGGGTTGACCTTGGTAGGTCTACGATGGGTCCTGGAGCATGGTTCCAAGGGTAAGTGTCAAGCCTTTCGGAGGGAAAAGAAGCATATAAGTCGGCAAGTTCATCAGATAGCTTTCCTGGAATTCAAAATCAATTGACATTCCAGGACAACTCTCTTACCATTGCAATCCCTGTTCGTGGGTCTCCGGGTGGACTTTGACAGCAATTCCAATTGGAAATGGCCAATGATATTTGCCTATGAGATGGATCGGCGAGGCAACTGCAATGTGGCGAAGGCGAACGAACTACGGAGGTTAGACGAGGTCAAATGGGCCCAAGCGCTACAATCGATTGTCGGATCCAAGAATTATGCCTACCTCATATGTCTTTGTTAATGCTGCGGACCATTTTTTTGAAGATATTGTCGATGTTGGAGGGATTAGTCTGTCCAACGTGATTGGAATTCTTCGACCTGCAAATGCAGGAGTTCGTGAACGGTGTTTGGGTTCTGAACCTCGTCGGCAGATGTAGGGACCGATCACAATGGTCTGACTGTAGTCCTTGGTGCATAAGAATCGGAGCCTATGATGTACTCCGTAAGGCGATTGAGACACCACGCAAGTCAAAGTTTTTCGGTACGTAACCCACGTAGGCAGTGTGGCTGCGTTGGCTGTTCGTTGTAGTTCCCAACAAGATGACTGCCTGCTTGAGAGCCTTGCGGATCTGTGGGTTGCTGCGTGCTGCAGGAGTACAAGAATCCGGCACTCCATGTGCCCATCGCCACACAGCCGGCTAGAATAGGAAGAGATATTCTGACAAACTACCATTCATAGCCAGGAGCATCCAAGACTTGGAAGGGCGTCGATACCAAATGGTGGCTTCGCCCCCCATCCTTACCGACGATCTTGATATTGCAAATGGCTTGGGAGGCTTGACTCCGTATAGTATGGAAAATCCATCTCAGTGCCTGTCAGTGGTAAACTGATAACATTACCGCGGACGCCCAGACAGACCGAGTTGGGAGCGGATCCTAGTCGACTGCCAATCAAAACTGTTGATTGGTAGTAGGTTCATGGGCTGGGACATCTCCACTGGATTCTAGATGAAGGAGCAGAATAAAGCAGAATATAAAGCTGTCGCTTATTCAGAATATAGTGATATTGGAGATGGAAGAGTAGCCGAAAAGGATATGCCCCGTGACTACAAAGTTGTGGTACATCTAGATTCTGCCGAAGCACATCACCGCTCAGTCATATCAAACTTGGAACATCCATGATACAACTCAGTACCAAATGACAGTTGGAATGATTCCATGGGTACTTCGCAGGGAAAACTCAACACTCTAAATCCGCACTTGGATCTACATCCAGATAATAAGGACCCCAGCGATTCCGAGCATGCATGCGCGTGCCACTGGGAGAGAATGTCCGCTCGTTAGGATTGGCTGAGAGCGTGAGATGCATCAATGCACCAAGAGGGCCATCTGAAGGGGCTGGCCCACAGTCAATGACCCCGTCGTTCTGCCCAACATAAAGCCCGAGGAGTTCCCCGTAATGACGGTCCCAAACTACGATGTAACCCGATGGCTGCCATGGCTCGTCCGGACCATACCGCATATCCATGCAGCCAAGTTGCATCAAATGTAAGTTGCCGATCCCCATTTGAGGAACTCCGTGAATGATCAAACGAGCCCGAATAAGCCCTAGGGTAGATGGGGTCATAGGCTCGGACGAATCACGCAGCGCCGGAATTTGGGAGTTAGAAAATTCAATCGGTGAGTGTCCTGGTACCCATCGGAGTTCGAGAGATTCATACTTTGAGCGAAATTTATCAAGCCGTGCCGGATCGTAATCAAGATGAGTAACGATCTTCCAGGACTGTCCGTCATGGTAATTCAACAGATCTACGACCCTGCCCAGTGCAGCCAGAGACTTGGAGCAGCCATGAGCGCGAAGCTCTGCATACAACTGTCCTCCATGGTCAGAGTCAACAGACTTGTTATCGATTTTGGGCAAAAGTTGGTCGTCAAATGCTTCCCATATTGATTCTGAGGAGTCCAAGGCTGTACTGAAATGGCTTTGACTTTCAGGGCTCCATTGAACACCCATTCTTCGATCCATGTCTTCAAGACAAGACTCAAGTAGTTCGAGGTAGTCCTCTCCCCTCACTAGGTCAGGTAATGCCTCGCCCACAATAGGATCATCAAGGAGGGATCGAATATTCGGAAACTTCGCAATGGATGGCAGGTTATCACCGCAATGTTGGGAAATATCTTCTAACCATTTCACTGCTGTTTCGGACTGAACATTATGGACTAGAGCTAGCACTATCTGATAGGCAGCGATGCAGCTTTGATAGTCTTTAGGCTGAATGTTCTTCAAGAAATGAGACCAGCATCTGTGAAGTACCTCATCACTCCCAAGCCTAGCAAGTAGACATATATATTCCTGGGCTTTATTTTCAGAATTGAATCGGTCGCCAATTTGATCGGTAGGTTGCATCCAGAACAAGGTATCATGCAAAGTGTGATTTTGAACCACGAGTTCTCCTTCGCCTGTGATCTCAGCAAGTATGGGATTGGGATCATAGTAGGGTTCCTCAAAAGCTTTGCAATCAAGTGCTTCAGAGCAATATCGGATTATCCGCAAACTTTGCTTAGGACTTAGGGCTGGAGCGCCTATGTGGCGGTGGCCATCCAAGAAGTGCCTGAGATCTGAAGTTGAAAGATCAAAAGACGCAAAGGACAACGCTATATTGTACATCTCAGGATGGATAGGAAGCTGGAGACGTTTCAGTCTCGCAAACAAGTCACGTAGCACCGACAGGATTTCTGCTAATGTGTTGTTTCGTTGACAGCGCCGCAAAGCGTGATGTAATGGCAGGCAATTATGTATCTGCAAGATCTCTGCTCCACGTCTGTGCTTGACATATCTCTCAATTAGACTTCGCAAGGAAGAGACATCGGCGATGTCGCCATTGGCATCCCACAACAACTCTTGGTTCCGCGATGTGACCCCTTTGAGGGAGGTCCACAACGGGGGAGGTGGAGATTTTAACTTCCATTCGGTGACAAACAGGCCACGAAGGTACCCAGATAATGCGTCGTTAGTATTTGAGTCATGAATTGGCTCAGTTGAATCCGTGAGGGCGAATCGAAGCAGTTCAGATGGTGATGGGTCACGGGGCCGTTTAATCGTTGCGGGATAGACACTGCGCACCAATTGGCGTGAGAGCACATTACCAGTGTTAAGCTGTCGCCTTGGTTGCAGCAGCAGCAACCGAGTGTGCGGCCCTCCCATGTCGACTGGAGTGAAGCTGATCTCCAGGAGAAGATGTGGAGAAGATAAAGGTCCGATAAGGGTGTACCTAAGTCTGGGGTTTTGGTCAGCAGATCAAGGGCGGCGTAGAAGGCGGTGTGGGGCCAGATTCGGGCTTTTATTTCGTCAACCAGCTGACTACCATTTCTTATCAACCTAGCCGCCAACAAAATACCTACCGATTTCTATACGTACCTACTGCTGATCTATTGATCAACCGAAGGATATTATGGTTCGAACCAGAGATGCGGATAAATCCGCCAAGGACGAGGCGAGCCAAGAACAATCCGTTGAGCAACCGACCGAGAACACGAGCGAGCCATCTTTCGCAACATCTGAAGACAAGGCCACAACTCAACCAGATGAGACAAAGGATGACGGTGCTTCCAAAGCGCGCGAGAGAATGAATAGGTTCAAAGCCCTGCAGGCTCGAGCTGTGAGTGGTTCTCAAAAATGACTTGCGCAGATCAATAGGCCTGGCCAGTCCAACTTGCATAGCTGACACCACATATAGAAATCCGCAACGGAGCGCAACTTGAAAGAGACTGCAGCCGAGTCCCAGCGTCTGACCACCGACCCAGCCCTGCTAAATACATTGTCCCGCAAGCATGCATTCGCCTCCCACAACCTCCTCAAAGCAGACACGGAAGCCGCAGGAGAAGATTTTGAACGCAAGCGAGCATGGGACTGGACAGTGGATGAATCGGAGAAGTGGGATAGGCGCATGGAGAAGAAGCAACGTCACCGAGATGACGTGGCTTTCCAAGACTACACTCAAGATGCCCGGAAGATTTACAAGAGACAGTTGAGAGAAATGGCGCCGAACTTGGAGTCCTACGAGAAAGAGAAGCTTGCTGCGATCGAGAGAGCCGCGGCCAACGGCGATCTAGAGATTGTGGAGACCGAGGATGGTGAAATGATTGCAATCGATAAGAACGGTAGCTTCTATTCCACTGCGGACTCGACTGGCTTTACGGAGAGCAAACCAGATCGGGCTGCTGTTGACAGACTGGTCAACGATATCCAGAAGGCAGAGGAGGTGCGCCTGAAGAAACGCAAGGAGCGCCGTGGTGGTGATGATGACGCGGATGTGACATACATCAACGAGAAGAACAGGCAGTTCAACCAGAAACTTGCTCGCTTCTACAACAAGGTCAGTTTTCCATTGATCTGTCTCGTGTCATCGTTTAACTAACAGTTTTATAGTACACCACCGAAATTCGGGACAGCTTTGAACGTGGCACCATGATCTAATTTGAATGTGAAATTGATTGCGATATTTTACATGAGTGGACGTTCCGGGCTATACAGCTGTACCTGGATAGGCATCAATCAACCAGCAGAGATTCCATGCGTTTTCCCCTCTGCCAAAAGAAACACATTGTTTTACAAACATACAAGTCACTTGATCGCCAACAGACCTAAAGCATCGTCTTTCGCCAGGCTTTTGTTGCAAGTGCCTCAATCTGTTTCGTTCCGACTGCACCCTTGGTGGACTCATCCTCCAATGCCTCGACGACCGCTTCGCTCACAACATCGGCCTTGAGGGGCTTTTCGGCCATAGTTCCGAGGAACCCAAGCTTATTCCCGAGGAATGTATTGAACTCCGAGGCAACGAAGCCACCCATTGCAATTGGCAGCGTGAACTTCCGACTCGAGTCGTACATGAAGCCCGGGCGTATGAAGATGCTTCGTAGGTCCGGGAGGGTGGATGTGATAATTGCCTCTGCTTCTCTTTTAGTACTGATGTACCTGGCTGGTAGAATCGGTACCCAGGCCGCTGCAGAGATGTAAACGAAGGTCGGAACATGCTCATTGGTGGACTCTTGGGCTAGCGCAATTGCTTAATCACACATGTGTCAGCTTCCAAGACAGACTTTAGAACTCTTGTACGCACCTGAATCTCGATTCATCAGCTCATAGGTCAGCTGCCCATCTTTCTCTTTTGGCTCCAATGCCTCGCCCTCTTGTCTTGTTAGAGGGTTCTGGCTTCCAAGCTTAGATGTACTAAAAGCTCGTTGAAGGCCACTGAGAATCGGTTCTCTCCCTTGCACAACGCCCTTGTAGTCGGCTTCCAAGAGAATGCCCATTGAGTGGACAACAGCAGAGGCACCATTCAAATGTGGCTTGTAGCTCTCTGGTTTGAGGATATCGGCCTTGGCCCATTCCACGGAGCCTGCCCAGCTGGGCCGTTCTCGAGAATCGGTGACTGTCTCCCATCGGGGTTCACCAGATCGACTGGACAAAGATTAGGATTGTGCTCTTCCATACATCCATACATAAGCGGGAAAGCTACCTTAATGATGTGACTGTCCATCCCCTTGCTGTTGCGGCTTTACAAATCCTGGACCCTAGAATACCTAGTCAGTAAAATGATATTGATATTTTTGTACTTAATGGGCATGACAAACCCAAAAACCCGCTCCCTCCGGCGACAACTAGTCTTTTGGTCGGCATGCTGTAGCTTTTGGATAGCTCCGGAGAATGATATCACTAAAGAATCGGAACAGTAGTCCAGGCTATTTAGGCTCACAATTGAGACTTAGAGCTGAGGCGAGGTAGTAAAGATCGAGTTCTTCAATAAGCAAAAAAAAGCGTTAGATAATTCAAAATAATTGTCTTTTGACCAGGACTTTGATGTTAGCGTTCGGCATCATTCGCCTTCTTGTCGGGCCACTTGAGCCCCGACGGATTATCATTTTTCCGAGACTTTCTTGCGCCCTTGTTAGTCCGTGATCATCTGGTTCTACAATCTACCAACAACGTCCAAGATGGTATCTGCGACAGGAAACAAGCGTGTCAGAGTAAGCTTCAAACCCTGGGAAATACAAAAATTTGAACTAACACGCAGGCAGGGCGTCTCAGTGTTCCGACCTTTCGGTATGTCCGCAAAGAGCGCATTATCACCAAAAGTCGCCAACTAATAAACACAGTATTTGGCAGTATAGCTCACCCCTTCGATCCCGATAATAAGCCGCCAAACTGTCCTCCAGACCACACCCACAGGTGGGAGATATTCGTCCGGGGAGTCAACGGCGAGGACATTTCCTACTGGCTAAAGAAAGTCCAATTCAAGCTGCACGAGACATACGCCCATAATGTGCGCGCGATCGAGCAGCAGCCCTTCGAAGTTTCGGAAACAGGCTGGGGTGAATTCGAAATCCAGATCAAGCTCTACTTTGTGCCCGAGTCAAATGAGAAACCCCAGACCCTGTGGCATAGTCTGAAGCTACACCCTTATGGCCCAGATGCGGAGGGAATGAAAGAGCGTCGGGAGACCGTGATCAGTCAGAACTACGAAGAGATCATTTTCAATGAGCCCGTTGAACAGTTCTACGAGATCCTCACTGGGGGCTTTGCTGGTGGTCAGGCTGGCAAAAGCAAGGGAAAAAATACCAAGCTGATTGGACAGAGGACGGCGGATATTCCGATGAATGACGCGCCCGGGAACCCATACAGTCGGACGACCGAGAGGAAAGAGCTTGATCGCATGGCCGAGGCCACTCAAACGGTTGAGCAGATGATCAGGGAAGAGAAGGAGCGCTTGATCGAGAGGGAGAAGTATCTGGCCGAGCTGCGGGAGAGTGAGGGTGTGCCCGCCAACACGAAGAAGCGGTGATTGCTCCAGACGCTCTCTTAAGCCAAGAACCCAGGCCATTGCCGCTGTGTGGTAGGCTTTTGAGCATCCCGTCAGGATGTATCTGACCAACAACCCTCATCAGCCCGGTCCAAACGTTCCTCGGTGCTGGGAGCTTCTTGGGTGGCTCAACTGCCCCCATCCGTCGATATTCGTGTCTTTACGCCTCTGATAATTCCCTGGTCACAAGATCCACAAGATCCAACCTGTCTGTTTCCACCCAATTCATCACGACTCTTGCATTATATGCCAGATACAACCAACAGGCTCAAATATCTGCGTCATCGCAGGCTTGTCCCTAGGACCCATGCGGCCCTTTCCGCGAGGTGGAACATTGCAGAGCATGCTTTAGCAGGTCTTGGGCACGCACCGGGGATTCTTCCCAAACCGTATTCATCCAAGTTTGCAACGAGGTTGACTCAGGGGTCTGCCACTTGCTATGGGAAAGGGAAACCTCACAAGGATACAATCCTATCGCCGTGTATGTACGTCCAGACATCTCGGGACGTACCCTATCCTAGTTCGTGATACGATTCTTTGTTTAGGAAGGTCATTTGAATCATAGTACTGGTGGCAACCAATCAATATCAATTTACAATACGAAAAGACTAATCTATACCACAGTATGTTCGTTCAATTATCGCACGTCCATCTGAGCACCTAGCACTTAGCATCTTGGACCGTATCTCTGGTCTTTTTCAGGAAGGGTATCAAGTCCGTGCCGCCAGTCCCAGCAAGCTTAGTCTTCGCGTCTGCTCCCTTTATTTGAGAGCTAGCCGTGGCTAGATTCACTCTGCCTTTTCCCTGTTCAGTTGGATTAGGCTGTCTCGACGCCATGACAATGTATCGAGTGACCATCTGGATGTGTGTGTCGCGGAAAGCCTTGAGCTCGTTCACGGCTGCGTTGTATGCATCCTTAGGCTGTTGAACTGGCAAGTCCAGTATAAACGGACGAACACTAGCTCGAGCAGATAGCTCTTCAAGGAAGCGCCTATGTGGACCAGGCATGTAGCCTCGCATTTGCTGTCTTTGGTGTTAATACTGATCGAACATGCCTAGAGACAGAGACCCCGAAAACCAATATCGCGTGATGTTCTTACCTGAATAAAACTCGGACCAGAAGCCTGCTTCCCATCCGTCGCAGAGTGCTTAATACCAAGGAAAATATCAAGTGCCTGAATCAGCGAGCTCTGTGCATTACTTCCACCACTCAACTGGAGCCAATTCTCCGGTCTTTCCACCACATCACTATCACCAACATCATAGTACACACCCCTAGGAAGACCAGCATGACCCATATTCTTGCTGCCAGCCAGGAAGGGCCGAAGTTGGTGGAAGAAGACGGCCGGCTTGTTGTGCTCGTACATTCTTTTGAGAGTCAATGTCAGGTCACATAAACCATCGGCAAACCTGTACAAGAGGGCAGTGAGAAGGTCTATATCGTTGACAGCAACTGCCTTAAAAGCGTCCCGCATCAGCGAGATGAGTTTGATGCCTTTGGCTTCGACAGCGACGGAGATCACCATGAACCATTCCTCGTCTTTGGTGCCGGTGAACGAAGTCTGAACGTGGAGGTTGTCCGGGTCTGTGATGTCTGCTTCTGGGTGGGAAGGTATGAAGTTCCATAGTGTGAGGCCGGCGTAAGTGGCGCAGGCGGGAAGTTCGAGGTGTGCTGATATTTCAAGGAAGGGCTTTGAGATCGAGGGGGGAAGTCTCTGTGGCCTGGATGTTAAGGAGGTTCTTTGTTTGAACGGAAAGGAACCTCGGAGAGGGTGCTTACGTCTTTTGGGGTCTCTCCACCCCAGATATAGGCATGGGCGAGATATCCCATAATAACACATGCTCGTCGCCATTCTGGCTCTGTTTGAAGATTCTCAGTCGTGCATACGGGCATATTGTCGATTCTCTCGCGGATTTGGTTTGTTTGGATGAGGTTCGGGAGTTTGCTGGCTATATCCTCCCAGATCTCGTAATAGGGGTTGGAGAGTCTGGCTAGCGGAAGGCCATCTGAGAGGAAGCCCTGCTCGGCATAATTTTCGAAGAGATCGTTGAGAACAGCATCTGTTGATTGCAACATTGTGGATTGATGATCGTGTAGGTTCCGTTCGAGAGGGAGAACACGGCTGACGTGGTATAAACAAAGACAAAGGGGAACGACTACCTTTTAGGAACTTTCTTTTAGGTTTGAATAGTCTCAGGACCATATGGCCTCATTATTGAAATATTTACTGCATCGGCTTGCCTCGGGGCCATTTACTCAAAACATCTATACAATCCGGAAGATATCCGGATCCATATCCGTCTTCCGCCTCTTCACGAAGTGACACAATAACCGTCCTCACTGGATAGGCTTAGCTTTGCTTGGTTCAAGGCCGAAGAAGATAGGGAAATGTTTGACACATAGACTGGTCCCCTGTCAAGTAAGAATACTCAAATAGGAAATAAGTCCTTTTGAGTTTGAGTTGTGATCAAGACCTTGAAGTCTTTGGGGATGATAACTAACCAATCTAACCAGGAATCTTGGTACTTTTGCTAACCAGAGAGTTTGATTGCTTTTCTTTGTTAGCTGACCTGCATCGTAGGCAAACTATCTGCAAATATTCATGCATTATGATGATCTAATGCATGGTAGAGCCAATAGCCTATGAGAAGCGATCTCTATTTTACGCTATATATCGGCGGATTAGTAGAATCCATGTAAGCAATTCTAATATTATGATGTAACGATGGGCTTATATCCGGTAGATGTCCGGTGGATGTGCATGTGGCCAACTGATACAAAGAAGTATGGGACGGATCGGGGAGACGGAAGCGGAACAGCATCCGTGTTGGCTCCAGTTGCAGCTCATGGGAACTCCCTGCTCTCCGATTCGGCAATTGCCTGCCAGGGTTATAAAAATCCATTGCATTTCCCGAATCTTCCCTTCATTCCTACTTGGTTACAACTCAAATCCTCACCGCTTGACTTAATATACTGTATTCGACGCATTTCATAGCATTTATCGACATGACGGTCACCGAACTATCTAAGCCGGTCTTCCCTGCAGAGGCAGCATCACAAGATTATGCCGCATCTCTCGATGTAGCGGATCCTCTGCGTGAATTCCGCGACCAGTTTATCATTCCCTCCAAGGCGAACCTCGCTACGAAGAAGCTGGCAAAGCCAGGTGGGAACCATATCCCTGTGGAGACGCGAAATATAGTTTGATTATTGCTAACAAGCTCATGCAGGTCTCTCGTCAGAGCCAAGTACGTACTTTTGCGGTAACTCATTGGGCATCCAGCCCAAGGCCGTATCGAAGTATATGGAGGCTCAGTTGGATACTTGGTCGTCCATCGGTGTGTGTGGACACTTTACGGATCTTGAGGACTCACCATTGAAACAATGGCAGCTACTGTCTGAACAGGCCGCTGCTTCAATGTCCCGTATTGTTGGGGCCGCACCTGAGGAGGTCGCAGCCATGGGAACGTTGACTATGAATCTCCACCTGTTGCTTGCAAGCTTCTACAAGCCAACTGAGATCAAGCGGAAGATTCTCATGGATTGGAAGGCATTCCCCAGTGATCATGTGAGTGACAATGCACATTGGAAATGATCTTCTTAGGATCAACATTGTGATAATCTGTTGTTTTAATTACCCATCACTAACACGTTTATAGTATGCAATTGAATCACACATTGCCTGGCATGACCTAGATTCAAAGGAGAACATGATTCTCATTGGCCCAGATGAGGGACAATACGAGATCTCAACAGAGAAAATCCTGTCCTATATCGACGAGCATGCTGAAACCGCAGCGCTGCTTCTTCTCCCCGGTATCCAATACTACACCGGACAGCTATTTGACATCCCCACGATCACCAAGTATGCCCAATCAAAGAATCTCGTCGTTGGATGGGATCTGGCACACGCATATGGAAATGTGGAACTGAAGATGCACGACTGGAACGTCGACTTCGCAGCTTGGTGCACGTACAAGTACGGCAATGCCGGGCCCGGCGCGATGGGTGGTCTTTTCGTGCACGAGAGACATGGTCAGGTCGATTATAGCGCTGGACCAGATGCCCCGCAGTTCCGTCACCGCTTGACAGGATGGTATGGTGGTGACCGGTCGGTGAGGTTTAAGATGGACAACAGTTAGTGTCTCCCTATTCGTGTCGAGCGATGCATTTTCTAGCATATGCTAAGCACCAGCAGAGTTCAAGCCTATTCCCGGAGCTGGAGGCTTCCAGGTCTCCAACCCATCAGTCATTGATTTGACCTGTCTTTGTGCGGCTTTGTCCGTCTTCGACCAGACCTCTATGGCTGATTTACGCCAAAAGTCGTTGAAGCTGACAGCGTATCTGGAGTTCCTACTTCTGAAGGACACCGACAAGAAGACTCGTCTATATGATATTATCACTCCGTCAAATCCCAATGCTCGGGGTGCTCAACTGAGTGTTTTGCTCAAGCCTGGCTTGCTGCACAAGGTATCCGAACGCCTACAGAATGCGGGTATCATTTGTGACAAGCGGGAGCCGGGCGTCGTCCGAGTGGCGCCAGTGCCGTTGTACAACACTTTCTCTGAAGTGTTCAACTTTGTCAAGGAATTCAAGGCCGCTTTGGCTTCTGAGTAGTTGGTAATTAGTATTATAATGAATGTGGATAAACCTCGAGTACGATAATGCATGCACCTTGAATAATATGCCGTGGACTCCCGTAGCTATTCAACCTCACGTTTGAAGACAAGATAAATATACACACGAGTTGAAGCCTGCTGTTACAAGCCCTTAGAAATTCCCAACACTTTCCCAGTTATCACCACTGCGGAGGAACTCTTGCCCCTGAGAAAAGAAATTGGCAGCAAGAATAGAGAACTCATCATTAGACATCGTCAAATGCTGCGGTGAGAGCAAAGAGTCTGCTGGGTACTCCTGGCTAGGAAAGGCGGTATTGGCACTGACCGATTGAGATCGAAGATTTGGTGTATCTTGTTCCTGGACACTCAATCGGAACGGCAGAGGCAAAGGAGATGTCTGAGATACTTCTGCGCCCGCAGAAGGCGAACCGGCATATATCGACTCCCCGAATAGACGCCGAGCAGAGTCTGTGTCGCTGTTGGATGAGTATTCGAGGATTTCCCAGAATCGGGATAGGTCGATTAGGAGGCTTTGGTTTTGCGCGCCTGGGTCTGATTGGTAGGTTGCCGAGACTGCGTCTTCTAGTCTCTGTAATCTATGTGCCTGTTGGTATGACGAATGGAGTGTTAGACGGTTGTTTTAGGCCAAAGGAGATCCGAGGAGGTGGAGGTTCATACCAGTCGAGCCATGTGCGGCCACCTTTCTCCTATGGTTTGCACGAACTTGACACACTTGGCGAATCTTTCACGTTTATGCTCTCTGATGGTCAAATCATCTGTGAAGCTGAGTTGCAGCTCGATTGTAGCGACAACGGCGGCACTGTAGCCTAGTAACGGATCTGATACTAGAAATGACTTCTCTTCAAAGCAGTTGATGAAGTGAATAATCCAGGTTGTGTGGGAGGAGATCAAGTCCGAGGTGTGCTGTAAAAAGATCTCCGGGATAGTACTGCGGAAATTCCGAAGACTGAGCGAGAGAAGCAGTGGATGATTGAGTAGACACAAACTGGTATGATACATGAATTGATTCAGAAACCACGGGCCCCAGTATTCACGATGTGTCTGTAATTCCTCGGGAGAACGTTCACCAAGGTTGGCTGGCTTGAACCGATGAATGTACGGCATGCGAGTCTCCAGGTCCATTTGTAAAGCGAGAATCTTCGAGTATTCGGAATGCGGAGACCATGGTGGGACGTTGCTTGGGCGTCCGTGAAGGCGCACGTATCGTGCTGTCCTTGCGAACACTTCGCTCAGCACTACCACATAAGCAATGATTCCTTCATCTTGCATGTCACTTCGTCGTATTTCGACGGTTGACGGCCCGGGAGAGAGGAAGCGTGCTGGTCGCGCTGGGCTTCGGGGATATGGAGGGCCTCCGGCTTGGGGTATGTCCAGGATTGGGAAGTCGCCGCCGTGTAGGCGTTTGAGAAGACATATACTCCAGAAGCAGCGTCTACGTTCTTCGCGGACTATAGTGCTGGTTGATGAACGGGGCTCTTGTCCGAGATTGGCACATTGTGCAAGGTTCATTGCCAGGCTGCTGTGGATGCTGGACCGATGTGTACTGCCGTCTGACAGATATTGTTAGCTCAAGTCTAAATGTTGGAAACGGTAGGCCCATACTTGTGAAGTCAACCAAGCTCAAAATACAGAGACATTGAAGGGTCGAAAGCTCCACTGGCCCTTCTGAAACTCTTTTCATAACGAGGCCCCGAGCAACCTCAGCATAGCCATTTATCAGGCTAGTGGAATCGGCCCTAGTGTGGTGGGCGTATGAGAAGCGAAAGGCGAGCGCCAATATAGCAAAAAGAAGCTCCGCCTCGCGTGATTGTAGGCTGGAGAGAAAGCTATCCCTGCAGAAAAGAGGCAAAGGCTGAGAGTCACAGTATAGCAAATAAAGCTCCGCAATGGGAATAATCTCCTCCCACGGTGGTAGCGTAATAGGTGAGCTTGGCATTGGCAACGTCACAGACGGGACAAGAGGTTCTGTGGGTATGTGTGCCTCACTCCTCGAGCTGCAGCATGTTTCTAAGAGTAAGTAATTGCTCAAATAGGGATCATGTATGATCCTTACCCAAGTACATCCAGAACCTCTCCAACTTTGCTTTCAAGGCCTCGCAATCTATCTTCCTGTGATGGGATTAGTATTTGGATAAAGCCCTTCGGGCTTGCATTGAGAGATGAAAATACTCACCAGAGTTCGAGAGTCTGAATCATTGAGCCTTGGACTCAACTCTGGAAGTGCCCGACGCCTTTCATCGGCGTACAGACATTGTTGCCGTAGCCTGGCACACAGAGAACAGACCGGCTGCTCTCCGGGGCATTTAGCCTTTTTACGCCTGAGAAATTGGTTAATAGTTATCGTTCTGAACAATCCGATGGGCATGGTACCTGCATGGCTCACAAGCCTGACGAACCCGCTTGGCGGGTCTCTCTGAATAGGTCAAGCTCTCGTCTTCCATTGTTATATTTGCAATACTCAATGCTCTCAATGAGCATAGTCATCATAGGAGCATGAAGCGGGTATTTCAAGGCCCCAATTGACAAATTAATCGAGATATAGACATATGCTCAGTGCATGCCCTTGCTTCAAAGGATAGAGAACGAGCGAAGCCGTTGTACATTATGGCGTAGATCCGGGAGTAAAGTCGTGAAATTGGCCAGTGGAGGGTGAGATAGCTGAGTAATCAGTCGTGAACGGGTCCGGACCTGGGCCGGGCATGGACTTCATGGAGGAACGCGGGCCTTGAATCCTGCGATGCCCACAAACCTCTTGGACACGTTCACATCCAGCCTGGTCAATTATGAGCTTTCCTTGCGCTCGGTAGGTTCCACATATGCCCTGAACGGATTTAACTGAATGACCTTATACGGCCCGAACTCCGTGTTCCCAATGCCTGACAAGAGATACATACATGTATCTTTCAGTCTCATATTGAACTTCTATGACTTCGATCCCAAGCCCGAGACAATTCCATGTGCTCTACGTATTTGAATGAAGGCAGTCATTTGAAACTGAAAATATAAGGTTTCCCAAGGCTGTGCTGAGTGTGATGACTGCTATATTTGAGACTTTCAAGAGTTCTCAAGTTTGTCATAGGAGTATCAAACGTTCAGATGTACGCACTACGTATGCTTAAGATAGAGGTGAAAGTACATCGTTCTTTGGAAGAGGATCGTCCGTCTACTGTGTATCCATGGATAGCCCAGGCAAGTCATAGCACAATCATCTCTATTCTATCAAAACAATACCACTTGGGGCGAGGGGTCTGAACGAATACTTCTGTGAGATCAGGAAACGATACATGGCAGCATTCTTGGACTGGCGCTTGAATTGATCATATGTACAGCTTCAAATCTGCGTGGCTGCCAACCCATCTAACCCCTCCCTGGAGTAGAAATACACCATACAAAAAAAAACAAATGATGCCGCAGCTTGATTAACCAACGGAACTGAAATTGGCATCGTTTATCTCTGTCAGACTAAGCCCTAAGGCCTATAATTTAGATCCAGGTCTTGTGGCCCTGTGAAGAAGTCAGTATGCGAACGTATTAAACTGGTTACTCGTGCTTCTTGTCGGAACATGAGAAGAGGGTTGGGTGAAACTCACGAGAACCATGCGGCACATGGCGTAGGTGGTAGCTATTGCCGATTAGTTTTCTATCCTCAACCGGATCTCATAGGGAAAAGACGGGTCCACTCACCAGCACCGAGGCCGTAGACCGAGATAAGGTAAGGGTACATGAGGTAGCCGGAGCGGGAGGTCTGCGGGACAATTCCAGTGTCAGTTTATTGCTCTTTGCAATCTCAATTCAGGGTATAAGTGCCCCTTCCGGAGTGTACTGACCTTCCACCATTGGCGCTTGCCATCGTGGTTCTGGAAGAGACGCTGGTAGTAAGGCACACGGTTCTCACGGAACACGAAGCTAAACATAGGCAATCAGTCAGTATAAGTGGCAGTTATATCGCCGGATATCAAGTCTCAAGTCCCCGCAGCCGCCTCAATCACAATTGGACTCCGAAGATCGCGGGAGGAAATTCGATGGGCGCACTCTCAAGATCGGGTTTGTGCGCGGGGGACTTATGCAGCGATTCGAAGGGAGCACGTACCCGGCCAGGCGGGAGCTAGTAGCACGGAACATTTTCACGTTTGGAAACGAAGAAGGAGCGGGGATGTGAGGTACGACGTGGGCAAGATGGGGATGTGAAGTTGGTTCCGGAATGAGCTGGATATCGTGTCACGTGCCGAGCATCACCTGATCGAATCAGACGTTGTAGGTATCTGGTCATCATCCCAAAAGGGGAAAGCGCCAGAAAAGTGCCCAGACGCGTATCAACTTTTGAATACTCGGCAACGAATTCTTTTGGATTGACGTCGGGAGCTCGAAGAAGGATGTTTGGCGTCGAGAATTTGCTTTCCCGACCTTCCTTTCTTAACCACTCATGCGCCCGGCGCTTCTGCGACTGTTGAAGAGGCCGTCCGCCGTCTCAATTCTTGACACCCTCTCAGCTACACCGATCGGAATTGATCAACTGGAGTCCAGGTACAGGTGTCTACGATGTCATTCGGGGAGCGCCAAACAAGAACCACTCGAGGGACCTGACAATAGGCCGACCCGGCATCAGCTTGAGGATTCATGTCGAGGGAAACGGCCATTCAGCTTTCCCATCTACGACATTGAGGGCTCGAACGAACCAAATACCTTTGAGCCCACGCCTCTCATAGAGAGCCAACCCCATAATAACACGACACAATGCCCTACCAAACTTCTGTCTCTCCGACCGGACAAGCTTGAATTCGAATCGGACGTCGGACACCTCGACAACGTTGGAACGCGATTAGTGGACAATCCGGAGCATCGAAATAATCTCGATCTTTGGGAGGAGCTTCTTCGATACCGTCAGCGCCACTACGGCGACAATGGCACGCTGGACATATGGGAAGGGTTGAGGGTGCGAGTGGATGGTGTACGGCTTCCAGTTGCAGGAGACCAAGCGGACTTCTTTTGGCGGAGTTTTGTGGACATGGGATTGAGACGAGAGCTCTTTCTCAAGGAGGTCATTGACTATGCTGTCATTCTACGGGGGCAACAAGGCAACGGATGGCCACAGCTGTATGAGCGCGTGGTGGGTGGACTTCTTGACCAAGGCTTGACGACACGTGCGGTCGAATGGCACAAGAAGCTTCAAAGTTCTCATTTAGTCAGCGCGAATGATGTGCTGAAGATTCTCCCCTCGGCGATCCGTTCTTCGTCTGTTCCGGCTGGCACGGAATTTGCGACTTCGGCTGACCTCCAGCGGTCGTCTTTGTCGCCGGGATTGCAGGCGTTCCAGACCATATGCTCCACGACCCCCGACCATAGTTTTTATGGCTCTGTCATTGCGATGCTCATGCAGCAAGGCCACGGCGAGGCGGCGATCTCAATGCACCATTTCCTTGTTCGACGTCAGGATCACCCACAGAGCCCCGGCGAGATACAGCCATTGCTGGAATATATTGAGAAATTCGGGCTACGGAAAGAGTTCAATCGGCTCCGTGGCTATGTCAAAAAGCGGTTTGACACCGAAGCCTCGATTGATCAACCTGGCCCAATAGACACAGCACCGAAATGCGAGGAGAAGAGGTCGCAAGACGAAAGACCCTTCAAAGACGACATTGGTGCTAAACTGTTTGCTACTCGTGCTCTCAATTTCGACATGATCGTTGGTGGCCTGAAGATGCTCGGTGTATCAGAGATCGGCCACCGGACGTTGCGCGAACTAGCTACGAGAGCTCACGGCAACCAAGATCTTCTGGACAAGCTTAAAATACTTAAGCAGTCCGGCATTTCTATAGGAAGCACTGTCTTCTCGCGCTTAATTCAAAAACTTGCAGCCCAAAACCGCGACATCCTTCTCTCCGACTTCCTCCGCAGCGATCAGCATCCTGATATTCTCGAAGACAAGCGTATGCAGGAGTCAATGTTGGTATCTTACTACATGGCCCGGGATTGGCGATTGTACAATATGACTCTAGCAGTGTTAACGGAACTATACCCGGGCGTACCAGACCTCTACGACATCCACTTTCGCAAGCATATCGCGGCTTGGGAATTGAACGCGGCATCTAAGGTCGCCGACGAGCTAGCCCTCCGTGGGCGGACATTGGGCGAAGCAAGCGTGGATTTCATGGCCGAGCAGATTCTCACCCCTCGGCGAATGAACCACCGCCCACCGCCGGGTCAACGCCTGTCTGCCGTCGACGAAGTGATGTTTATCTTCAAGATTCTAAAGCGCGTGGTTCCCGCCGGAGGGTATGTCAGTGCTGCATTCTGGGTTGAGATGCTCAAGCGTCTTGGCATGGCAGACGCATGGGCAGACTGGGATAAACTCCGAGATTGCTGCCAGTGGCTCGTCCGACAATACTCTGAAAGCCTTGAGCAGAAGCCTGGGGCTTTTCCATCCTCGAAACAGTCACTTGATCCCTCCAAGCACGCCAACGGTCGCGATCGGCGGATGCTCGATCTGGTCTTTACCCCACAAATGCAAGCTGCGATCGTCTCCTGGGGCTTCATGTTCCGAGTATTGGACACCACCGCATCTAAATTTACCGTCGCCCCACCTAACTCCACGGACGAAAAACTCATTCCATGGGTAAGGGGACTGATTCTACTCCGAGAGCTGGAACAATCTGGTCTTCGTCTTGACAAGCGATTGATCTCACAGGCAGTTCGCCACCGGCTGGCCATGCTCTACAGCCACCATGTTCTGTCAGCGCGGCGCATGAACCGCATGCTGCGGCGGCGGAACCCGTATCTTCTGCAGCAAGTATTGAACGATGTGTTCCGGGCATGGGGCGATCCATCTCTCTTTGATGGGATGGAACAGAACTTGGAGCAACTGGTGAATCCGCCACGAGCGAGCAGAACGAAGCGACGTGCTCCAGGTATACGTTTGTCGCTTAAAGGACTATGATACTTGCCCTCGGCCATGTATATTAGCGAATATGTAAATAATTGATTATAATACCCATATTATTCGAGAATCAGTGTACACGTATGTTTTTCCCGTTGAGACATTGATCGTCTGTAAAATGCTATTATAACATATAATGCTGCCTAGAAGACTGGGCTATGTCACAAATAGAAGAAGTCGGTGTAAATGGCCCAATCGCAGTGCTGTCGATCCACCGATCTAAGAATAGTTGAGAGGGCAACGCGGCCTTGTAAACATTCTGTTTATTTGACGTCTCCTCTTCTTTTTTTATTATATTTCGTCTTTCTAAATTATATTGTTACATCTCATACATCATTTGTGTACAGTTATGCGAGTGTTCAACTTCCTGGCCTTGTTGCCTGTTGTCCTTGCGAACCCTTTGACCCAAAAGCGCACGACAGCATGCAACAACTCTCCTGATCTCTGCTCCAAGTCCTATGGAGAAATTACACATCTGGGCGCCCACGATAGTCCTTTTGTGCGTGATGGCGATACCGGCAACTCGATAGCTGCCAACCAGTACTACGACACTCCAACACAACTATCAGCCGGCGTCCGATTAGTAACAGCCCAAGTCCACAAGAGCAACTCACAATGGCGCCTATGTCATTCCAGCTGCGACCTGCTCGACGCGGGGTTGCTGAGCGATTGGCTGAAGGATATCAAGACATGGCTGGATGATAATCCAAACGAGGGTGAGTTAGTCCCGCGAGGATGTTTAATGTTTAGAAAGAAAACTAACCCAAAATAGTCGTCACGATCCTCCTAGTCAACTCCGACGATGCCACAGCCTCTGATCTCAACACCGAATTCACAACAGCCAACATCACGGACTATGCTTACAAGCCCACGTCCCCAGGCACCGCCCCAACAACCTGGCCAACCCTCCAAACCATGATCGACGACGGCAAGCGCCTAGTCGTCTTTGTGGCCTCCCTAGAGACTAGCGCCAGCTACCCCTACCTACTGGACGAATGGAGCTATATCTGGGAGAATCCGTACGACGTAACCTCCGCGTCGAATTTCACATGCGAGCCGGACCGACCGTCGACATACAAAGGCAACAGCGCATCCGCACTAGCAGCCAACCTCCTCCCACTGATGAACCACTTCCTATACTCGAGTAACCTGGCGATCATAGATGTCCAGTACCCGAACTCCAGCTACGTTGGCACAACGAACGCCGCTTCCGGTGGAACGGGTAACCTGGGCACTGCGGCGACAGACTGCAAGAAGGCGTGGAATGGGCGACAGCCGACCTATATCATGGTGGACTTCTTCAATCGCGGTCCGGCGATTGATACCGTCGATAACTTAAATAATATTACCAATCCGGTTGGCCGCAAGTCTGTCTCGACTTCGGATGCGACTAGTGATGCCTCGTCGACGAGTAATGTGTTCAAGGCGCTGGTTGAGCTGGCGGAATCGGCTCGGTCGGGCACATCGGTGTCTATGGGGAATTGGATTTGGACTGGTGGGAACTGGGGTAATCTACTCGGTGGGGGAATTTCCTTCTGAACTGAGTGGTTTGGCCTCCGTGTCTCTTGTTTTGCTTTTGATATTTGGAGCGTTTCGACGGATTTTTTTTGGATATCTTTTGGGTCATGCGGTATCGGGTTGTGTCCTGGCTGGACAGTGCATAGCACATGGGTATAGGGTGTTTGCATTGCAAGGGCAAGGCGTTTTGGATTAGAATTGGGATGGGATGGCGGGTCATTTTCCCCAAGGTCACATAGTCTCTACAATTGGAATGATTCAAAGTCAATTGCCTGCGTTCTCGATTTGCGGAGTTCAACCCGTTCCACTCTATTTTCCCAATATCTGCTGCACCTTGGCCACCTTATCCTCAAACGATTGCACTTTGTCAGTCCTAATAGAGACCATTAGCAACGGAAAATGCATTACGCATGAGGTGAGCAAGGAGGAGCATAGGACCAAAAAGAAAAGCAAACTCACCTCGATCCAATCCGAACATCAGTATGAATCCGAACAACTCCCTTCTGATGAACAATTGTATGCGCCTGTCCGATAACCTGATGAACCCGGTCCCAAGATCCTTCTACAAAGCAGAAGAGAGTCAGTAAATATAGAAATAGTGTCACACCGGCCTGTCAACTCTCAACTCTCAGCGCTCTCCTCTCCTTCTCTCCTGTGATTTCAGTTCCAGCTGCAGACAGATACAGCTTACAGTTGGAGATGAGGGGAACAAAGTCCACACAAATAGGGATTGGAACTGGAACTGGAACTGCGAAGGCCGAGGTAATACTATAATACTACACTAGTATGTATTATAGCCTCGAGACACTCCATACGTACCGAGGGTTGTACCTGCGGAATGCATGACATACTTCAAGCCGCATGTTTCAATCATCCGATGGACGTCAGCGACTAGGTCTGAGACCGAGGGCGAAGTGGTGCCCATCTGGGGTCGGTTAGTGGATAGGAACGTGACTCCACAGGGTTTAGGGAGGCTTACCGGGACCAGACAGAAATCAGCGATACAGTGGTCGGGGGTTGGGATGTTGGACATGTTGATGAAAAGGCGAAATTGCGAAATGGCGGGGCTAGAAAGAGAGGAATATAAAATATTTAGAAGATTGAGATTGGAGATATAAGAGATGAGATGAGGTGAGATGAGGATGTGGTCAGTGTGACACGCCAGCATATCCGCAGGGCTGAAGGACATTTACGACATCTTTACGGAGTACTCATTTCCATTTCCATTTACATCCACATACCTAGTTATTAGGCCTAGGTATTTCTATTTACATGTTTACTACGGAGTACATATGTGAATATCACATTTACCCTCGAGCCTTTATCACATCTGCAGTCTGCATTTCAACTTGAGATATCCGATTTCGCTGACCGCTATTGCCCATAAATGCAGGGCCTTTTCCCTCTGACGTCTAGGATTTCCTTCTACATATAACTTCATGGAGTTCCATTCCACTCCATGATTCCAATGGTTTCCCAACCTCCCAAGACTTTATGACTTTGGTATGATCGACCCCAGGGGGGTACGCCACTGGTTCTTGTCGGGGCCCACAACTTAACCCTTGGGCTTTTTGAACGTCCTTCTTTGTCCACGTTCTCCCTTTTTTTCTCGAAATATTCTCCTTTCGAAGCTCTTGAGCCGGTTGAATTTCGCACTTTCATCGCTGATTGGATGTCCCAACGGAAGAGTGATCCGGCTAAACTCGGTTTAGCCCCTTTGCGGTTTAAGCCTCTCACTTGATGCATATGCATATAATCTAAAGATTGTTTCACATACATTCTCAACCTCTCCGGATCTATTCAATCTATTACCCTCTGTGGAGATAACCAAATCGCCTACCATCAACGTCATGGTCACAGAGATTGGATCTCCAAACCTCTATCCTTCTAACGGATGACCAAACCCAATCTCCTTGAACTCCCCTCGGGAGTTCAGCTCGTTTACCTCGCCGAGGGAGGAGCAAATGTGATTTATCGATTTGTTAGAAAACCAGTCCTCGCCAAAAAGGACAAGGGACCACTATCTCCTACACTCGAGACGGATCATTACCTACCAACCAAACTTAAGGGAAAATTGCTCCGACTCCGCAAAGAAACCGCAGCCGATATCTCGTACACAGAGATTGTCCGAAACTTCGACACTATCATCCGACCGTTATTCAACCCCGAAGAACTAGTCGACCAAACCCTCGTCAGACTTCCCGAGGGTCTCCTCTCCAGCTGCAACGAGCAACTCCGGACCGCTGAACGAAACGGCGCACGTCCAAAGAAACGTCATGGCAGCTACCTCTGTCTACATGAGGTATTCGGTCTACTGATCACCGACATGACAACGGCTGGTGACCCCGGTGCCAGCCTAGCCGAGCTGAAACCCAAATGGCTCACCCAGTCACCATCAGCGCCTGCGACAGCACACAGGTGTCGGACCTGTGCGCTGAGGGAGATGAAAAACCGCGAGTCGCACCTCCTAGGCCTGAAAGAGCAGCGGTCCTTCTGTCCGCTGGATCTGGTGTCGGAGCAGTATGAAAACGTGCTACGGGCAACGGGGTTGATCAAGGGCTGTAAGGATCGATCGCGACTGGCTCGCATTTTGTATCGGAACCCGACGCTGCAGAGGTTACAGTCTCTACAGAAGACTGAGAGGGATGTTGGGCTGCAGGGTCCGGCGGCGCAGTCTCGGGAGATGTCGCTTGCGATGACGCTGCGGGACTGTACAATGTTTATTAAGGTGAGTTCATGCTGCAAATCAGGGTTTGTTATTTCTGGTCAAGATCAAGACCTGTCTGTGGGAAACATCATCCAGAGTCGAATACTGACCTCTACAGATCCCCCATGACGAGAAATCACCTGTTGAAATCCGCCTCGGCGACCTCGATCTGAAGACAGGCGCCGGCGGGAAATCTGCTTACTGGCGAGACCTGGAAACACGGCTGATTGACCAGGGCTGGTATCGGGGAAGTAATATCAGTCAAGATTCGGGCGAGTGCGCTTTGCATAGCCCGCGAAGACCCTCTCAGTCTAATTTAGCATGAGACTATCAATCTCGTCTGGAATGGCGACCTCTTTAGTGATTTGAACAGAGACAACGGATTCCTTGAGTGTGATTGGCATGGATCGTTTGGCTTGTACAGTAATCCTTTTGACTTTATGATTATTGTCGGGGGCGCTTTATTGTTTTGTGGGTTGGTCTCGGGGAAGGGTGGTTTTCTGATATTATTTCTTTAATGACTGCACGTTTCTTCGAATATGAATTGTAAAAAGGGCACTCAACTGATATCGGTCGAAAGGAGTCATCTAAAGCTATGCCCAATTCCCCAATTCCTCACGTACGGATAGAGCGAACAACTTCATATTGAACCGCCGGCTGGTAGACCTGGCAACACTGTGCCCAGGTCCTCTCAAACAAGGACGTCGTGAATATCCCCGAATTCTCGAGACGCACTCTCAGTAGCAGCTACTTTAGCATGCTGGTCGGCCTCTGTATTCCATTCTCTTGGAATACGCCAGAAATTGAATGCGCATTCCTCTCCCAGCCCATCGCTCCACCTCTCCAAGCAAACACTGCCAAAGGTCCTTGTTTTTGACTGGCGCTCTCACTGTCGTCTTCCAGTTGTTCCCCATCTATCCTTTCACCACTTCGTCGTACCCTCCACCACATACTCAGAATCAGTGGCAATCACTAGACAACGGCATCATTCGCCAGTCCAGTGTCGAAATCGGGTAGCAGCAATGACAGCGCGACACTCAGCCCGGTTGCTTGTTTGCGGAGCTCTGTGCCAGTGGGACCTTGCTTCTCGAGGAAAGCTTGCGTAGCCACAAACTTTAGGGTTTGTATGGAGTTTCTGTAAACAAAGCAACTGCCGGCTCTTGGATTTGCACCGCCGTTGGCTAAGCAGGCGCCATCCGTGTAGATCAGGAACTGCTTCTCGTCGTTGCGACGAATGAACCGATGCACAGGCGGCGAGGCCTTCTCCGTTCTGCGGAGTGGAAAAGGAGTCTGCGGTGAGTCGCTTGGATTTGGGGGATTGAACTTTGTGGGGAAGACGCGTCCCATGCCGACTAGAGCAATGCGGTGGCGTAAATGGTTAGAGAAAAATCATCCTACGGATATCAAAGTGGTTGCTCTCTGGGCGAGAGACATGGGTCACGTCGATAAGGCGACGGCACTGGCTTTGGGCTTGGGATACTCGGATACGGGCTCTGACAATCGACGAAAGCTTCGAAATCATGAAGATGAATACCTCATTGACGCTGGTGTGGATGAAGACCGAATCTTGGCTGTGTTTCGAGGCGGTGGTGATCTTCGACCTATCACCTTTGACGTCCCTTTCTACAAGATCACCACATCAGTTCCCAGTGAATACTTTCTTGCGTAAGGAAGGAATCTCCTCGAAGACTTGGAGGATGTGATATTCATGAACACCGGAGTGCGTGATGATCTTGGCGGGATCAGCTCGTGAAATCAATCAGCAATTTCGCTTGCCCAATGCGGATAGATTACTCGAGGGGGCGATCCCGTCCGCAGCTTGAGTGTCTATTACTAGCGGCTTGCTCTCATCTGTGCTGGTGAAGGCGTCTGTCGCTTGTGTCGTGCTTGATCTGAGCAGCAGGATTGGAATAACGATATAGTCTTGTTAATTAGCGGGTGAAACGAGGGTGAAGAATGAAACGTTGCAATTGAAACTTATCTACTCCGTAGTCGATAATATCACACCATAACAGAAACTAAGGAAAAACAATGACATGATTAAACCCCTTTCCCTCATTCACTCTTCTCTTCATTCAAGATACCAACAAAAGACCCCGGTGCTTAATTGGCTCAATTGACGATCCGTATACAGTAAAACCCCAATCTCTCATGCCAGTAGATGGGGCTCTCAATCCCAAGTCGAGGATGCATCTAAAAAGCCCCACCCAACACGCCACCCAGCGGCAAGCTATCAAGCAATCCACCAGAGCTAGCGCTAGCGCTTGGCAGCCGGGTGGACAAACTAGGTGTACGAGAAGCGGATGCGGTTGGCGTGGCTTGTCTCGTCGTCAGAGTGGGGATGGGCGTGCTGAATGGGCCTGGGTTCTGGCTGGATGTGACTTCTTCATTGCCTAGTCCACCGAGGCCATTGAGGGGGAGTTGGGCTGCGGCGTTGCTGCTCAGAGCTGTCAGAGTAGACAGGGTGAAGAGGATGTTGAAATGCATTTTGGTGGTTTTAAAAGATTGGAGATTATGTGGATTGATGCTTGTTTGGGCTTGAACTCTGAGAAGAATGTTACCAATTGAGGGTTTGCAGCTTGGTGGAATTGATATGCTAGGAGTGCATGGGAAAGGGTATAAATATGGACGGAAGAGAGAGCAAGGAGGTGGACGGTTTGTATAGATCACATCGCCATATGATGGAAGCGGGAACTAGATGAAGATCATGATCCCCTTCATGAAGATCATTGAAGGTCAGTCTCAGCTCTGATATATCATGTCCTGGAGAGGCTGTGATAAGCTGTAACGTTTGTTTCTATGCGATGGGATTCGTATAGTTCGATGTTTGTTACGCAGGAACAAGCATAAATTGAAGATCGCTGGCTACATCTCTGGATTAAGCATGTACTTTTCTTTTGATTAATCAAGCCACTGTATACCCAAAGCGTAGGAGAAAAAAAAAGTAACCATATTGCATCCTAGTATGTGAAGCAGATCAGGTTCGTTTAAGGATGTGACTGTTGTATGTGACAGTTGTTGGTCATACTTTAGCGCTGTGCCTCCGAGGGATTAACGATATATAGGATTATCGAAATACATCTTACATTATAAAATATACAATTGTACGATCTACAGAGTAAAATACCTGCAATATACTGAGGACAGGAGGATCTTACCCCTTAGAGCCAAGAGATCGTCCCCCCACTTCCTGATAAGAATCACACTTCAAACAACCTCTTCTCTCTAAGACACCACCCGTGCGACATAAAATGGACCCCAAAGTCGGAGTCGGCGTCTTCGTCTTCAACGGTGCAGGAAAATTCGTCATTGGCAGGCGAAAGGGAAGTCTGGGCGCCGGTACGTGCATGCAATATCCCATACAACCCCACACATGCAAGAGACAAGCATTTATAAGCACCTGGGCAATGCTTACCATTAATTAAAGGTACATGGGGATTACCAGGGGGACACCTTGAGTTCGGTGAATCCTTCGAGACCTGCGCCACCCGAGAGACCCTCGAAGAAACAGGTCTGAAGATCCAGGATGTGCGATTCTTGAATGCCACGAATTCCATCATGAAAGCGGAGAATAAGCACTATATTACCATTTTCATGGGTGCTGTCTGTGACGACGGTGTTGATCCTCAGGTAAGTTGGTTGATGTTTGCTTTTTGTGTTTTTATGCGAACTTGCTTTTTTCGTGGCATTTTTTATTGCGTATCCCCACGTCGTGGCTGCGTAACCCCGGCACAGAAACAGGATATGCGGCTTACTTATCGGTAGATACTTGAGCCGGAGAAGTGCGACGTGTGGGAATGGATCTCGTGGGATGAGCTGCGAGCGTATGGTGAGGAGGAGATGAAGGCTGGTGTTAGGTTCGAGGGGAGGAGGTTGTTTTTGCCTCTTTTGGAATTGTTTAGACAGCGTCCGGATTTTCGGGTTTGAATTTTCGGGTTATTTCCAAGGTTCAACCTAGAATCAGCTCTCATTTCTGTGGCGAAGGGTCGCTTGCAGCTGCAGGGCAGCCTACATGTACCTATGAAGAAACTATCTTCTTGGCGCACGTCCGCATGTGTTGAGGGATGCTACTATGGAAACAGAGAAGGCATGATAGTGTTGAACAGACGGACGAGGTTATAAAAACTATCTTATTCGAAGTCCACTACATCCTGTGATTGGTTGAGGCCAACCTGGTGCATATTATTTGCTTTTAAAGAAACACGCTACATATGCACTGTTCGTTATCATTCCGAGCAACATAAATCCCCAAAGACCTAGAAAAAGTACATATTCCAGTAGCAGTAGTCACCACTTAGTAGTCAGCGGTACCTACATGTAGGTATGTCTAACATGCAAGCTTCAAGCAACATCCCTCTGATATTCAAACCATTCCAAATATTCGCTTCCATCGCTGCAATAACTCTGCTCGGCGCTTCAGAAAATAAGAATTTGCCATCCTGATAACGTACGCCGGATTATCCTCGTAAAAACGATTCTTAAGATTAAGGACCATTTTGTGGTCTCTGGTGCGCCGTATACTCGAAGCCTCGTCCATTTGAACAACGCTCGCACGAAGGTGTACAATGTTCAATCCCCGCTAATTTGTTTGGTTGCTGGCTGGCGATGTTTACAATGCCCACAGTTTCGACCGCAACAGCCACCTCTTCTAGCGCAATCTTCAACTAGTTCTTGCCGAAGATACCAAGTCGGATTTTGTCGTAAAATATCATGAGGCCGTTTCACCGGCCCAATAGGAAGCATCGATTCGGCCAGGTAAAACTCCCACTCAGTTTTGCTATATTCTTGTAAGAGACCCCTAAGCTCCTCATCATATCGTGCTTCTTCGTTTATCAGTTGTGATCCCCCCGGACACCCGAGCCTTAGTCTCTAGAGCTTGCCCCCGTTGAACAATTTCTCGGAAAAGGTACTCAGTCATCATAATATTCACAACCACTTATCGAAATGAGGCTTTTGCCATATTTGAGTCGACGTATGATAATTCTTTCACGTTGGTCGAATTTGGCGTAGCTTTTGACGGGCCTGAATCCCGTCCCATCTTCGACCATACGGTAGACTCCCCAACATTTCATACTGAGACTTGACTGATAGCACCAGTAAAGACAAAGAGAAATAAAGGTGAAGAAAATAGAAGGATCTGAATATCACGAGTTACCTAGGTAAGGGCCCGCTCCCAAATCGGGGTTGGTAACCTCCAGGGCTTATGTTGTAGGCTCATGCTGATATTACGAAGGAATAGATCAAAGGGAGAATAATTATTGATTGACTGATATGTCTTCCATCCTTCGAGTATTATCACTTTGCTTTGCTCCAGATCCTTTTCTCGTGCAACGCGTAGAAGCTCGCTGTTACTCTAGGGACATTGCCGAGCTTGTCCCCAAACAGCCCTTTCCATTCTTCATATCGTTTCAAAAGGTCCCTTAACTGTAATATGAAATTAAGATTTGACTCCAATTAAGGAACAAGCGAGCCGGAATTTTCATGGGCAGCCCGCTTGATCCCCACTTGCAGGAGAGTACTCGAGAAGTGTGATCGAATTGCCTCTTGTAGCCATAGTGGCAAGGCCCTAAGAGATCCAACCACCGAGGAATGTCTCGGAACGATAGTTTGCCCACTTTTCCGATTAACAATATGTTCCACCACTGCCTGTGAGACGTCCTTTGGATCCAGGAGTGGTTGACCGAAATCAGCTTGATATCTAGTGAAGCCTTCGATCATGGGTGTCTGAACCCAAAGGGGGTGAACGATACTATGTATTGTCAGCATGATTTCTCTTCGAAGAAAGGCTTCCCAAACTAACCTCGTCCGCACATTCGGAGCCTTGTACCAATACTTTAACTCCTGCCGAAGGCCTTCTTGGAAAGCAAGAGCGCCAGCCTTAGAACAAGCATAGTCCACCATCTCGCCCAGAGTAACAAAGCTCGCCACACTCGCTACTGTAACGACATGGCCACGGTTCGTACGGACCATGAATGGAAGGAATTCTTTCATGATGAGGAAAAGGGAGATGATATTGACATCGAATGTCTGACGCAATTTCTCCTCTGGCATTCCGAGAATGGTGCCATGGTGGAAAACAGCAGCATTGTTCACAATAACAGTCGGCTCTCCATGTGAATTTCGAATAGCAGCGCCAGTTTCGGAAAGGGATCTGGCCGACGATATATCTGTTTGATAGAATGTGACGTTTTCTGGAAGCTCAAAGGTAGGCCGATTGATATCGAGGATCACAACGCGTACTTTATTGAGAGAAAGATCTTCCATTATCTGTCTGCCGATGCAACCGCTGCCGCCAGTCAAGAGGACTAGCTCATTCTCTGGGATCCACGAATCGCTGGCTTGGAAGTTGTTTAGAACTCGCTCTGACATCTTTGTGTGGAGGTAGTAAAGGACTAGAGAGCCCATCAAAACACTCAGCGAAGATGTGACGAGTGACACACTCAACAAGTTAAACATGGTGTCAATGGAGGGTTCGAATAGTCAAAAATCTGAATAGTGCTCGCCGCAAAGTAGTGCACGAAGGGGAGTTTGTTCGAATGCTGCAGCTGATGTGCTGGCCAATTTGTAGTCGGAGGGTTATTTTAACCTGGAATCAGCTGTTATTTCAGCGGCGAAGGTTGTACGGCCTTTTGTCCCCGCACAAGCCGACCAATCCGAGTAAGAAAGTAGCACCCAGATAAGAATCTCCAGATTGTCCTTAATTCTTCGAGACGAAAGGCCCATGACCAGGGCCTGATAAAACTTTGATAATAAAGACCCGATGCGACATAGAGTCAAAGGGGGAAGACTCATGCATGCCAAGCTATGGACAAAGAAAGAAGAATAGTGTCAATTCAAAACCGGAAGAGCACAAAGGGCGTCTGGACTATCTCCCCGGGCTCAGAAACTGAATTCTTTGTATTGAAGGCCTGGACATGAACCTATCATTACCCACGACTGATAAGGAAATCCCCAAGGCTAACTTTTAATGGCTTTCGTTTCTGGAGGCCTATGTAGCCTATCTTACTTGAGTTCTTGAAATCGTGAACTAAATATTAACAAAACCAGGGTCAAATACGTAATTTACTACCGCGGATACTTGCTCTAGGCGAGAAAGCATACCTCCTGAATCCTCAAGGCTTTGTGGGTTCTTTGGACCGGAGCTATTCTAACTCCATCTATGTACACCAAATCTATACCTTATATAACCTACAACTTCCCAAAGACCCTAACCCTCTCCTCAACAGGCTTCTGCGCCTTCTCCCCAGCAGCAGCCTCAGGACTTCCAAAGACTAACTGGGCAACATTCCGCCACTCACTGGGCAGATCCCATTGCTTTGCAACACCAGCGTCAATGAGCGGGCTATAGTGCTGCAAGTTCGCTCCGAAGCCGAGCGCTTCAAGCCCCGTCCAGACTGGTAATCGTTAGAACGAGGAAAGAAGTGACACAAGAATGGAAAGGCGGGGGGAGATTAAACATACGGAAGTACTGATGCATAGCATTGGAGTGGTCCGCCCATGGCAAGAAATTATCCTTGTATGTAGCGAATTTCTCCTGCATCGGTTTGATGTGGGCTGGGTCTTCGTAGAAAAGGACCTGGGTATTGATTAGCTATGCACAGGACTGAATATTGAATATATTGAGTTTCCAGTTCCAAGGGAGAATCCCGAAACCGAAATCTCTGGAGGGAAAAGCAAATTACGTACCGTCCCATACGCCCCTTTAAAACCTAGCAACTTAGGCAATGTCTGCTTCTCCCATATCTCCTGCGAAATCTTGCCTGCCTTAACAAGACCTTCGAAAGCCTCAATTGCGATATCCCACAGTCTGTCGTGCTGATTGTGCAGGAGCACGACTAGCCGCGTAGACTGCGTATTGAACGAACTAGGAACATGCAGGATGGCGGCATTGACAAGCTCTTCGATCTTGGAGTCTGGGACTGGACTTTCCTTGCCGAGCTTGTAGATCGTGCGCCTATTCTTGGCGAGATCGATTAGAGCGCTAGACATGTTTGCTGCTGGGGTTGGGGTTTGTTTGCGGGTTGAGGAGGAGAACGAGCGGAGTGGTTGCGTTTGGGTTCGATATAGATGGGTTTGGCGGGTGGATACCAGGCGTGCTGGGCTAATTCTGGATAGTGCTGCGCGGGTTATGGCGTGTAGGGGGGATTGAGTGAGGCGGGTTGTCATTTTGCTTTCGAGTGAACTGTACAGGTTGGTTTTGGTGTGGATCTGTGGTTTATATAGACCTATTGCTTTTGCTTATCACTCGATTGCTAATCCGGGAGGTTGTACCCCGTCCACGGCCAGGCCATCGTGATATCGCGGAATTACGGAATTAACTATTTATCAGCAGTTAGTTAATCAGCAATCAGCAATCAGCAATCAGCAACTGGGTTTATCATCAAGTCAATTACTTTATAGAGAGTATATAGTAGGAAGAAATATAAACCGAAGAAATGAGTAGTAATTGAAGCTATTCAGCAACTATCTAGCAAAGATGGGCCGACCGGGGTAACGTATGCCCAAATGAGTTGGGAAACATGTACCCCTACACCATATTGTTCTTTGAATGTCGCCAACATTACAATGACATTGAAGAATCAAGCCTCATTTACAACAAGATACCTAGAGCCTTCGCTTGAGTTAGCATGGACACATAACTAAGACACAAATTGCAAAACACAAGGTAAAATCGGCACTCAGAAACCCGTCTTGAAACATATAAGGTATCAAATTTCACCATAAATGGTAAGCCATGGATAGAATATCGTCATTGCGTGCCAAAAAGAGAAAAAAAAAAAGAGGAATTGGAATGTAGAATTAACAGAATGGAAGTGCATCGCGTACCTGAGCTAGCCGGCCCCGCCCAAGAACGGGGGACCATCACGGAACAATTATCCTGAACCTGTTAGATGGTGATTTTCGATTTTGATATTGGGATTGGGGATTGAATTCCAAAAGCTGTATATTGGGACGAACAGCATTATGTTATAGAACCTTTTCATGTATATCATCAAGATCTCATATTTAAAAAGCCGTTCCATATCAAAAGAGGATACCCTGGAGACGGATTGGGCAAATCCAAAACATTTTCGGGGATTCGGGGAGATTTGTGCTATTTGTTGGAAGTTGCAGGGGCCATGATTAACCCTTTCAGATACTTTATACCGGTCAACTGTTTACGCGAGAGGGCAGAGAGGGTGCGGCCCTATCCTGCTCAGGGCTGATCCACGATGTCGTCATTGATATTGAGATTGGCATTCCGCATAAACTGTGACCCTGTAAGGAGTAACGACCGCCAAATTTTTATGGAGAATGTTTGACATTAGCTAATTGGTCAGGTAAAAGGGTCGGTTTTTGTAATTCCGTTCTATGATTCTACCAAGCACCTAGGATCTTGTTATAGGTCTACAAGAAGTCTATACTATACTACATACGAAGTCAATAAAAGGCTGGAAGAATATTCAATGAATTCCAAACGTAAATAGCCAATACACAGCCAACATAGCAATATGCTGAGTCAATATAAGCCGTCTGTGATGCCTTTAAAACTTGATAGTCCCAAGCCAATCATCGCAAATGGTAGAAGTGCACCCCAGATCCTTCTTTGGTAGCCGAAGTTTTGCTGACAATGGTCAATAATCACCGAGTTGATGACCTCGGGTGTTCAAATGGTGTTGATGTTGATGCACGTCTACAATGTATAGATGCGGACACCTAATACCAACGATTAAATTTTATTCAGCTGAGATTTTTCTTCAGCCACTGCTACAATTGGCTACGAGGTACCTTGGTGGGAGCATAATTCTACTAAGTCCATTGCTGAGTTCAATTGGCCAATAATGCTCTCGGTTTCACCTGCAACGTCACGAAGCTGATATATCTGAATACTTCAATGTCATTATAATCTGTGAAGTCCCAACACCGCGAAAGGCCGGTGAGCCGAGAAAATGGAGTCTAAAGGCTAAAACAAGTACCTAGACAGCCCCAGACAGCTGGATTGGGTAAATAATGGAGCCTGTCGATCAGCCGGTGCTTGGGATGTAAGATGGATCTCCGGGGTGGCCCGAATGCACAAAATAATTGTTGGATGATCCCATTCCCCATGCATGGATGCCTGGTTTTCACACTGAGCCTTTCTTGTTTGCTCTTTGTGGCCTTTATAAAAGGCCTTTCCTTTGAGATTGAATGCAGAGCTTCTTCTTCTTCTTGATTTTCCAGTTGCTCAGTTCCCAGTAGCCCCAACAATAATAAACCCTCCGTCTATCCTTAAGTATTATATATATCACGTCCAGCACTAGAGCACCCTTCGGAAATTCACCAGTGGATATAGCCGTTATCGTGGGTAGCAACTGCTTCTTGAATCCAACACTTTGAGTCATTCGGCGTATTTTCCAGTTCAAAACACCGCAATGGGACACAAAAGTTCCAATCATCCTAATTAACTATTCTCAACATTGCATGATTCATACTGCACTGCACTTTACACCACTATGATAGAGAATGATGGAGACCCCGAGTCTTCGCACCGACAATCTTCCCACATTGAACCCCCGCCCGATGGAGGGTTGAAAGCATGGACACAAGCCGTGATGGACCATCTAGTGGTGTTTAGCTCCTGGGGTTACATTGTCACCTTCGGCGTGTCCCAGGCCTACTACAAATCAACGCTTGGCGTTTCAGCATCAGCTATTTCATGGGTTGGATCCGTACAGGCTTTCCTCATTTTTTTGTCGGGGCATTCTCCGGTCGGGCCCTAGACGCGGGCTTCTTCACTCAGTCTTTTTGCCGGGGTCCTTTTGCAGCTCCTCGGGGTCTTCATGACCTCATTCTCGACAAGTTATTGGCAGCTATTTCTCGCTCAAGGTATCTGCACAGGCCTTGGCAGTGGCCTGCAGTTCCCTGCAGTTCTGCCCCGTTATGGGACTGGTCGCTACCTACTTCTCTGGGCGGAGGGTTTGCCTTGGCCTTTCGTCTGGTTGGGAGTGGGATTGGAGGCATGTTTCTTCCCGGCTTGGTGAAGGCTCTCCTGCCGACGATCGGATTCGGTTGGAGGTTAGGGTGTTGGGGTTTGCTCGGTACGAGCATCCCTGCTATTCTGCTGTTGCAAACTCGACTACCCCCGTGCAAGGCTGGCGCCCTCATTGAATGCTTGGCATTCAAGGAACCTACCTACGTGCTTTTCTGTCTGGGCATGTTCCAGAATTTCTGGGGGTTATACTTCGCCTTCTATTACATTGGTGCATTTGCCCGCGATGTTCTCGGCCTGACATACTCGGAATCTAACAATTTGATCATTGTAACCAATGGAGCGGGAATAGTCGGTCGTCTAATCCCTGCCTATTTGGCCGATCTCAAGTATGGACCTCTCAGCACCGTCATTCCCTTACCCTGGCTGCTAGTGTGACGAAGTTTTGCTGGGCTCCCGTCCATTTGACTGCAGACCTGTACGTCTTTGCCGTGCTTCGGCATGTTTTCCAATGGTGTGCAGGGCCTCTGGCCATCAACAATCTCCAGTAACACGACCTAAGCAAAACCGGAGTCCGCATCGGTATGGGCTTTACGATTGTGAGTTTTGCCTGTCTGACTGGTCCGCCTCTCGGTGGAGCTCTCATTGCTAGGGCCGACTGCTACATTGGAGCGCAGATCTGGGGCGGGTTGAGCTTCTTTCTAGGCGGGTTGGTCCTGGTGGCTGCTCGTATAATGAAAACCGGATCAAAAATGAGGGCTAAGGTCTGATCCAGTTGCCTGGATCAATTCTAAGAAGGTCTGAATACTTTGTTCGTGAGAACTGGAATTTGTCCCAATCTCCTTATAGATGGAGTATAAAAAGTTACGGGATCAAAAGGGAACGAAAAGGTCTGTGTGACTATAAGTCCCAGGTGGGTTCATCAAACATAGTTCGACACTCTGCAGCTGGGGTTAATCAACTTGGTACTCCAAGAGAAAAGGAAAAAGAAGGCTCACTCAATAAGATTCCCATCAGGATCTCTCACGTATACACTGCGAATCTTCCCAACGGCCCCGGTTCTTTCTACAACCTCGGCGCCCTCCAGAATCTGTAGAGGTTAGTCTTCATCTACACCATTTGTGAGAAAAGCAGAGTGTACATACTTCAACTCTTGCATCCTGGAACACTTCTAGAACCTTTTCCACATTCTCGTCTGTTAAGAAGCACAAATCGGCACTTCCTGGCATCACGTCCTGGGCCTTGGGTTCGAATTCCTTGCCCGATTGGTGGAGATTTATTTTCTGAGAGCCAAAGATGAGGGCATGTCTATTATCATCAGTCCCTTTCAAAGATTCGCTAAGATTGTTGGGAGAAAAAAAAAGAAAAGAAAAGAAAAGAAAAAGAAAAGAAAAAGAGGGGTTACCTCTGAATGGATTGGTTAGATGGCGAGGTAAAGATCTCATGCCGCATGCCGAGGTAGGTAGTATAGAATGCCACAGTTTTGGGAATGTTGCGAACTGTTAGGACCAAGTGGTCCAGAGATTTGACGGCGAATTTTCCAGCCATATTCGAGTAATCAGTGAATGATATTCAAGGATGCCTAACAGAGGGAGGTCAGCCCTGCCCAGGAGCCGTGGAGCATGACTCAGCATATACGGGCACCGGCGCCAGCCCTGGCTCCCGAGGTCCACCCTGGGCAGGGGCCTATGTACTTCAGGCAACACATCCAAGTTGTTTTCTATATGATTTTGAATGGGATAGTTCTCTAAGTACCGAGAGATTGACATTCGAGAGATAAAAGTGGCTGAATCGATGCTATCAATCAAAATGCATCGTTCGAGACCGGATGTAGCCACAAGTCATCGTTCCACTTACCCCGCTGAAGCTAAGGGGGATAGCTTCACGTATATTTCTTGGCATGTGGCTCAGCAATCAGTGAGATCATCCGGCATTGGACGAGACAAATGCCGCAACAGGGATAAGTAGCGCAAGATACACACATGCAATCCAGCCCTGGAGGTATAAGAGGCACCCCGCATGATCCCAGCACGTATTGCGAATAAACACGGCATACCAACAACCATGTCCTACGCTTTATACTCCAATTCCCGACTATCACGCTCATATTCCTCCAAGCCCCGCAAAACCCTCCGCTCACCAGACCGCGACATCGCCTTCCGCAACCAATACATAGCGCGCTCAAAAACAACACTCGTGCTCAGACCATTCGGCAGTCCCCAGTCCGCCTTCGCATATAAGATCACCGAAGAGGATGGAACGCCACAGTTCACGGTGACGGGTCGCAAGTACACCGATCGCTCGTGTCGGGAGTTCCGCGATGATTCGGGTCTGCCGCTCTTCGAGCTACATCGGAAATGGTCGTGGACGAATAGTTGGTCGGTTAGCTTGCCCGGGTGTGATACTGCGACTATAGCTACTGGCGCTCCGCGATGGACGCTGGGGAACACTTCGTTTGGGAATTTTGATCTTTCGTTCGAGAATGCGGCTGCTTTTCAGGGGAAGCGCGGAGATGAGAAAATGCTTACTTTGCATATTGAACGGCATGGGAATGCGCTGGCGCTTTTTGATGTTGTTGATGGGGATAGGAAGGTTGCTGAAGTCCGGGAGAGTATTCATCATAATGAGAAATTGGCTTTGATGAGAGGCTCTAGGCAGGGATATCGACCTGCTATGGATGTTATTGTAATGCCTGGAGTGGATATTTCATTGGTGGGTATTCAAGTCTTTGGGTTCTTGATATAGATTGACTGACAGTTGTATAGGTTTCGACTATCGCTGTTATTGTATCTGACTGGGTTTTTGGTTCTAGTTGACCGAGTTCTTCACTTTTTTAAGTATAAATCAAGTAAATCAAGCAAATGCCAAAATGTTTCCGGTTCTTTTTTTGGGCTTGGCTGGTATCTGAGAAGCTGATCTTCTCTATCAACTTCACATTAGCCCAAAATTGTAGCACGTTCCGTTGCTCTGTTGCGCAAACATATCCAAATGTGCCACATACTATAAAGTAGTGGATCCTCCTCCCTGACGAATCTTCTTGCTACTATACTACTACCTACTATATATTTTTATATCTTATACTCACTATCCATTCTGGCTGTTACTAGCTACCAAAATCTCTACGCCTACCTAGCCTTGAAAATCCTCATCTATCACCCTGTTCATCTTGATAGTCAGCACCGCACATCGAAAAGCTACTTATACTATAAACCAGAACTGTGATCAACTCGCATGTGCCTAGCATAAAGACCGTTGCTTGCTTGTCTTTCCCAGGAGAGGCGTCTCCCTGAACCATGCAAAACGTGTCAGATTTCAAGTATGCGGCCATTGTATACCTCTTGAGATAATCTGACCTCCTGTGGATACCCATTCCACGGGCCCTGTCTGCTGATAGCCTATAAAAGGCTTGTTTTTGCTAGATTGAAAGATCATGGCTTCTTCTTTCTCTCTCTCTCACCTGGTTGCAGGTTCCAAAGCGGTTTTATGTCCGTCTCTGGGAGATCTCCTGAGTGGTTTGATGACAATTAGGCGTCTGTCAGAACATGATTCATAGCTCCGGTAACTCACAGTGCCCGAAGAGAACAAATTCGCGGGGCCTGTCTTATGGGGTTACTATGGAAGCACCCAATCGTTTATTCTGGATATCTATATCGATGCCCAGTCTTGGCCTGACTGGAGTGAAGGTCGTCCACCTCGTGGAATGACTGTCAGAACCTTGCCTCTCAGGTCCTGTTTGTCTCATTGGTTTGATGCCTGATCATGTACCTGTTACCAGCCATCCTGACTTCCCCCGTGCCTTGAGCTTCTGACCTCATGTGAGAATATAGCTACGTCATCTATACACGATAGCCTCTTTTTACTATATGGACAAAGTTCTAAGCCTGTGATGCTAGTTGCTAGGGTTGAAGGAAAGAATATCATACATGCCTAGGTAGGCAAGTGTGTCCCTCGAACTCTAATTCTTACACCCTACCATACAAGACAGAAATTCAAAGTTCACTGATCCTGCAATGCAATGTTAATTATATTCAAAATAAAGTGGTACAATTGCGTATAATATTGGAATATCGTTGTCCGTGTCGGCCGCTGCGGTTTCAGTAGTGCCAGCGAGGTTGTTCCCTACCACGTAGTATTGGCACCGTACAACATAGCTGAGGCTGGGTATTGAAAGGAAAGTCTTACCGCTTAGGGTCCACCTCCGGCGTCATGAGCAAGGCAACTACTTCCGCCTTCTCCTGTATAGACACTTGGGGCTCATGGCAATCTCGTAGTCCTGCTTTGGCCGCGAGGATTATCTTTATGGGCCCATCTTCCTCCCCAAATTATCCGTGGATTTGGGCCTCCATTTCTGCGCCATTGCCAAATTGGGTCCTGAGTGGCTTCCGATGAGCGGTCCAACGGCTATGTATGGAGGGATGTTTGGCCGCGAGAGAAATGAGGAAGGCCACTAGACTGGAATTG